AGCTCATTTCTTTTGAGCACTGAATAGCATGCCATTGTCTGGATGTACCACAGTTTAATTATCCACTCACCTACTGAAGGATATCTTGCTTGCTTATCAGTTTTGGCAATCCATGTACTGTTTTTTGTGTATGTGTGTGTGAACGTCTTTCCAATTCATTTGGGTAAATACAAAGGAGTGTGATTGCTGGATTGTTTAATTCTGTAAGAAACTAACCAACTCTTCAAAAGTGGCTGTACCATGGGAGAACCAAGATGGTGACATAGGTAATCACCTATACTTGCTGCCTCTCACAACCACATCAAAACCACAACTAAATGGCAGGACAACTACCACCCAGAACCATGGGAAGGCTGGCTGGGAGGAAGCCTCACAACTAGAGAGGTGAAGAAAGCTCATTAAGACTGGTAAGAGGTGCAGAGGCAAAGAAAGTGCTGGCACCTGGATGTGCTTCTCTTTTAATTGGGAGGGAGATACAAGCTCCTGCTTGCTCTGAACTCCAGTTCCAGGAGAGACTCTGGGGGATCCAGACACATTCGAGGAGAAGCTGGACTGTTTGGCATTGGAACAGGATCATGAGGGCAGCTTTTTCTTAGAGGTGCTCTCAGTGATCATTGCTTCTGTATGGGGGGATGGTGTGGGATGTGGAGACCTGCAGACCTCTCTGGTGCAGGGCTGCCTGGCAGCTATTACTGTTTGCCCCACTCTGGTGATTCCCAGAGACTCCTCCCCACCCAATTTACAACCCCACCCAAGCTATGTGCATCAGCTTTTGCATATAATGGCCTGTCCTTTCACCTAAAACCTGTCAAACTGCAGACAGAATTTCCTGTCAGAGCCCCAGAGTTTCCAAAGAAGGAGCAAGGTCTGGGAGCATCAGTGGCCTTGCTTCACAGCAAGGCCTCATCTGGGCACTACCAAACCCCATACAAAGATGAGGAATCTGCAGTTGTCTCTGTAGCTCCTGCTGGGTAGCCCCAGACAGTTGCTGACCTTGCACCTCCTTGGAGATCCAAGAGTCAGTGTACCCAGTGGTCAGTGTCAGACCATACCAGATTACAACTCTTCACATCCATAAGAGACACACCCAAGAGGCAGACTCAGTGAGCACCAAAGCCCTACTGAAGCAAGTACTGCCCCATAAGGATGTCTCCTGCACAACAGATCTTCCAGTGTAGACACAGCTGGTCATCACAGCCAATTGGCCTGGAGATCAAATCCTCCCAGTGACACCAACAGTAATCAAAGCTTAACTACAACAAGACTGTGCACACAGCCCACAAAGGGGTGCACTAAGAGTGTCCACCTCAGGTGACTGGGGAGGCTGAGCCACTGGGCCCTATAGGACACCAACCACACAAGGCCACTCTATCAACTCAAGGATACTTAGCAGCTACCCAGCACATAGAAACAAACACAGGGAAGCAACCAAAATACAGAGACAAAGAAACAAATAGCAAATGAAAGAAATGGATGAAAGCAAAATACTGGATATAGACTCCAAAACCACAGTTATAGGGTTACTCAAGAATCGTCTAGAAGTTTAGTGAGACCCTCAAGGATATGAAAAAGGACCAATCAGAAATTAAGCATACACTAATTGAAATAAAGAATAATATACAGAAATCCAATGGCAGACTAGAGGATCCCAAGAATCAAGTCAAATATTTGAAATACAAAGAAGCAAAAAACACCCAACTGGAAAAGCAAAAAGAAAAAAAAAATCCAAAAATATGAAGATAGTGTAAGGAGCCTCTGGGACAACTTCAAGCATACCAATATCTGAATTATGGGGTTGCCAGAAGAAGAGAAGAGCAAGATACTGAAAACCTTGCCCCATAAGAAAAAGATAAAAATAAAAATTATGAACAACAAAGTGACAACAAATACATATCTATCAACAAGTGAATCTAAAATCAAGTGAATAAAAAATCTGATGAACAGAATAAAGTGGTGAATATAATAGAATGAGGGGCATAGAAGGAGAGTGGACTGACAATTCTTGGGGGGAAGGGATGCAGGAAGAGACTGAACAAAAATCTTACACCTATGGATGAGGACAGTGTAAGGGGATAAGGGCATGGGGTGGGTGGGAACTGGGTGGAGGGGAGCTATGGGGGAAAAAAAGAGGAACGACTGTAGTAATCTGAACAATAAAGATTTAATTAAAAAAAGTGGCTGCACCATGGAACAGACTAATGATAAGTCATTGGTAGGGATTGGGATGGGAAAGAGATTAACCAAAGAACTTATATATATATAGGCATAGACAATAATTTGGTGAAGGCCTGGGGATGGGTGGAGGGGTGGAGGGGGTTACTGGGGAAAGGGGGACATCTGTAATACTTTAAACAAAAAAGATAAATTTAAAAAATAAAACATATGCAAAAAAAAGAAAGAAAGAAATGTGGCTAACCATTTTGCATTCCCACCAGCAATGTGTGAGATAGTCCTGTTGCTCCACATCCTCATCAACCTTTTGTGTGGTCAGTGTTTTGGATTTTGGTCATTCTAGTAGGTATGCAGGGATGTATTGTTGTTTTGATTTGTGAATAAAAATTTTTGCATCAATTTCCTAATGACATATGATGGTAAACATTTTCATATGCTTATTTGCTATCTATGTATCTTCCTTAACTTAGGCCTTTTGTCCATTTGTAAAGTGGGTTCTTTATTTTCTTGTTGAGTTTTAAGAGTTCCTTCTATATTTTGGGTAACAGTCTTTTTATCAAATGTGGTTTCGGGAAATACTTTCTCCCAGTTTGTGGCTTGTCTTCTCATTTTCTTGATATTATTTTTCTCAAGTGGAAATTTTAGTTTTAATGAAGTCCAGCTCATTAATTATGTATTTTGTGCATTGTGACTTCGTTGTTGTATCTAAAAAGTCCTTTCCATAGCCAAGGTCATCTAGATTTTTTAGAATTTTCTTTCCTTTGGAAGCTATAGCTTTGGGTGTTGTATTTAGGTCTATAATCCATTTTGAGTTAATTTTTGTAAAGGGTTTAAGGTCTAAGTTGTATGTAATATTTCTTATTACCTTTTTAATGTTCATAGAATCTGTAGTATGTCTCCTCTTTTATAATATCTTCTTTCTTCTTATTTAGTGTGCCTAATTAGGGGCTTCTCAATTTCATTAATATTTTCAAAGAATCAGCTTTTGGCTTTATTGATTTTTGGTTTCAATGCCATTGATTTAAGCTTTAATTCTTTTTTTCTGCTTACTTTGCATTTAATTTGCTTTTCTTTTTTTTAGTTTCCTAAAGTGAAAGTTTAGATTTTTGCTTTGATCTTTCTATTCTAATACATGCATTCAATGCTAAAACTTTCCCTCTACACACTGTTTTATCTGCACCTCACAAATTTTAATAATTGTATTTTCATTTTCACACACATAGTTTAAAATTTCTCTTGAAAAAAAAATTTTTTTTTTACCCATGTGTTATTTCAAAGTGTACAATGTATCGCCAAGTATTTGGAGATTTTCCGGCTATCTTCCTGCTATTGATGTCTACTTTAATTCCACTGTGGTCTGAGAGCAAAAATGTATGATTTCTATTTTTTTAAAGTTGGAAAGATGTGTTTTATGGCCCACATATGGTATGTCTTAGTGAATGTTCCATGTGAATTTGAGGAGAATGTGTAATCTGCTGTTGCTGTATGTTATTATCTATAGATGTCAATTATATCTAGTTGATTGATGGTGCTGTTGAGCTCAATTTGGTCCTTACTGATTTTCTGCCTGCTGAATCTGTCCATTTCTCGTAGAGGAGTGTTAAAGTCTCTGACTATAGTAATAGATTTATCTATTTCTCCTTGAAGTTCTATCCATTTTCCCTCCTACGTTTTGTCACTCGGTTGTTAGGGGACTATACATTAAAGATTGTTTTGTCTTAGAGTACCCACTCTTATCATTATGTAATGTCTCTTTTATCACTGAAAACTTTCCTTGTTCTGAAATCTGTTCTGTCTGAAATTAATACAGCTATTCCTGCCTCTTTTGATTAATGTTAGCATTTTGTCACCCTTTTAATATATGTACCTTTAAATTTAAAATGGGTTTCTTATAGACAACATATAGTTGTGTCTTGTTTTTTTTTTATTCATTCTGATAATTTCCATCTTTATATATTTAGTCCTTTAACTAATATTTGATATAATAGTTATTATTATGTTATAACAATGTTTATCTTTCCTCAGGGAATAACGTAAAGTTAACCCATTTCCTCCAGATACAAATTTAAAGGTAACCTACTTCCCATTGTCTATTGGAATAGCCCTGATTCAGATCCATAAGCAAGAAAGGGGCCAAGTTACTCAAATAGGAATTCACACTAAGAGAAAGGGGTGTTGAGCCTAGGTTGGTAGCTTAAACTTACTACAATAGCTTTAGGCTTGTTTCACAGGGCTAGTTCAAGTGTAGGTTGTGGCTAAAGCCATTCACTTCTCTGGAACTGGCTAACCTGACACAGTTTTGTGCTTTGGGATCCAGAGCTGAGCACATCTGAGTGAATGGAAAGAGCTGTGACTCTGGCATCCTGCTGAGATACCACAGAGTCCACGGTGGAGAGAGACTAACAAGAGCATTACCTAAGTGATGGGCCAGCATTCTTCAGCAAGTCATAGGGCAGTGATTGTGAACTGATGGAAGGTGCCCACACGTGGGCATTTACTGTGCTTGTTCACTGTGAAGCACCAGCAACTATTCTCAACTGAGTGAGCCCAGAACTTAAGAGGGAGAAATGGGCCTTCTGCTAATAAGGGCACATATGGCCTTGAGCAATGAATTACACCTTGAACTTGTCAAATGACTCATACCGTTTAGACTTTTAAAAATGACCGGCCATATGTCACCCCCCTGAGAACCTGTGGTAATTGTTTTAGTTGATTTATGCATTAAGAAAACATTAAGGAAGAATCAGAGGAAGTGGATCAAAGGATAGCAGTAATTTGGAGCAGAGGAAACAGCAGGGAACGGTGGTGTTGCAGTCCCCTCTACTCACGAGGCTGATGGGCATTCCAGTGTGTGTACCGCACCGGCTCAGACATCTGCCCTGCTGTCTTCCAGGTGTATTCTCCTGTGTCATTCTGGTCTTGGAGAGCTATCCAAAAATAACTGTCCTTTGTTTTTACCACACTACTGATCAGACTGGTAATAAAAGCCTGTTCAAACCTTAAGTAGGGGGAAAGGAAATGGTTATAGTAAGTTTCTGGGCAATTAAAAATGCCATTAAAACATAATAAGGTGCACAGAATGGCACCAGAATAAACATTTTTCATGAACTCTTTAGGTCACGAAGCAGAAACACACCCAAAGACCCTGGACATCGTTCATAAAGGCAAAATGTCATTGTAATTCCCAGAAACACAGGTATGAGGAGAATTTGACTCTTACAGACAGGGCTTAATTGTTTCAAGGACTAGGGTTCTGGTTTCAAAGTATAGGTGGTAAAGCCCATGAAGCCAGCTATAATACATTTTTTGGGGGCACAGTATGTGCCTTACTTTGCAATCACACCCCATGCAGCACACCCCAACCTATAATGTGCATGAGATGAGGGATGGCTGGAGGGTGGAGGAAGGATATTATACTTTTCTGGATGAGCATCTGCCAGCAGAGTTCACACGCACCCACTCTGCACACTTGCCTGATGAGAGCGAGACAGAGATTGGAGTAGCAATTTTATGTCTCCCAAATCAGTTTTTCACAGGTACATGGAATCCTTGACTTATTCAAATGTGTAGAGATATGCAAATTCACTGAAGATAAATTTAAAACCCTAGAAATGAACCCAAGGAAGTGCAGCCAGTAACATTTCCTCCAAACAGCTGAATGAGTTAGTGTTCACTGATTGCGGGGGAAGGTTTCCTTCCCAACCCAAATGCACCAGAAGCAGAATCTAGGAAACCTTTCTATATGCTTTCACATGACTGACTGCCTGCAAGAAAAATGTGTTAACATTTAACTAGCATTGAAATTTTAAGCCAAGTTGGAAACTATCTTGAACATTTTATTTTCAGTACATATAACGTTCTGAAGAAACATTTCAAGCAGGGCTGATTTTTTTGGCCAGACTTGCTGAGTCAGTGGGAAAGGAAAGGCCTGATGAAATTACCCAGGAAACCTAACAAGAAAGCAAATTAGACTTTTTCATCCAATTTTGTCTGTGTGTGTGTGTGTGTGTGTGTGTGTGTGTGTGTGTGTGTTTTCATGGCTATGCATCCTTAACTTGCACAGGGTAGCAAAAGCAATGGGGCCATTTCAGAATAGAGAAGTCTCAAAGGAAATAGGGAGCCAGCGGAATGACACAAAGCAGTAACATTTTAAACTGCCCCACGAACATCACTGGCAGCAGTTAGAGGTCTTAGTTGTCCAGGATCCTCATCTTGGTGGAGCACACGGGTTTTCACCACGCTTTGGTAAGTACCTCCTGCAGGTCTCTCTATGAATAATCTGACCAGCACACGTTTGAAATTAGAAAAGTTCTTTTGTAACCAGATCGCAGTGGCAGAACCTTATGGAAAGGTGTCTCAAAAGGAAGGAGGTGCCGAAACCGGTTTGGCTCAATGGATAGAGCGTCGGCTTGGGGACTGAAGGGTCCCGGGTTCGATTCCGGTCAAGGGCATGTACCTTGGTTGCGGGCATATCCCCAGTAGGGGGTGTGCAAGAGGCAGCTGATCAATGACTCTCTCTCATCAATGTTTCTGACTATCTCTCTCCCTTCCTCTCTGAACAAATTCAATAATATATATATATATATATATATATATATATATATATATTTTTTTTTTTTTTTTTTTTAAAGGAAGGAGGTAAATTTTGAGTTACATCATTAACATGCCCTGTGCCTGAAACGGCTGTGCTAGGAGGCCAGCAAGGCACTGCACCATGGAGGCTGTGGCCAAGACACCATTCACTGTGCCGATTCTAAGAACCCAATGGGCATTGCTGGTTCTTCCATTAGCTTCTACCATGACATCTATCAGGTAATGAGAGCAATAACATTGTCTGTGAACTTGGACTCTAGTATCATTATTCTTGACAACATTTTGCTTTTGTGCCTTGTTGGTTTTAGATTTATTTAGTCCACTCTGGTTTGCTATTTTATCTCCATTTTATCATTGCAAAACAATAGAAACCTTCCGCTTTTTAATTGGCAAGCATATTTTTTAAAAAGTAGTTGCATATAATACTCATACATTAAATCCTAACACCTTCAAATCAAAACAGGGTTCTAGTTTTCTCAGTCCAGTTTAGAAGATAGCATTGTTCATAAAGAAATTCGGCAAATATATCTTTTTTTTAAGCCATATATCCTAAAGAATTAACTCTGGATAACAGCATGAAACCTCTTAAGTGTCTGTTTTGCAACTGATAATGAGACAAGAGTACATTTTATAATCTTTACCATTCTCCTTGGCTTCAAACACTAAAAGTGTTGCAAAACCTCTACCTTTACAGTAATAGAGCAGATAACTTTTAAAGTCTTTCTTAGCATTGTGTTTTATAATTTCTCATTTGCAAATATTCCTGAGCTTTATGATATCTGGCCTTTTTGTTTGTTTTCACTGAAGTTGTTTAATGCAAATGTCATGATTTAAGGAACAAAAAAATAACCACATGTACATGGTTTTATATTATTATTGAGCCAGGATAAAATATTATCTCTAAGGAATTTAGTGAATACTTTTTTTGTTATTCTTATAAAAACAACATTAATGATAAAATATTTAACTTGTGTGTACCTATTTGTAAAATCAAATTTTATAGGAAACTAGAGGCCTGGTGCATGAAAATTCATGCACTGGGGGTAGGAGGGGTGTCCCCTCAGTTCAGCCTGCCCCCTTTCACAATCCAGGAACCCTCAGGGGTGGGAGGCGACCCAGCAATCAGGGGAAGGCAACACCCATCACACCTCTGCTGCTGCCACTGCTGCCACTGCTGGCAGCGCAAGCCTTGGCCAACCCTGGTTACTTGAGCCTCAGGTGGCCCTGGGTTGCTGGGCAACTGCCATATGAGGCTTGCCTGTGCTTCAGGCAGGCCCTGGGTGGCTGGGGGAGTTGAGGGGTGTGTGGAACTCCAGAGGCAGGCACGCAGAGTGGCTGAGCCTGCCTCCAGGCATCTACTGCCTCACATTTTTTACAGAAAGAAAGGGAGAGAGATAGAGAGTTAGAAACATCAGTGAGAGAGAAACATTGATCAGCTGCCTCTTGCACACCTCCTACTGATGATGTGCCTGTAACCAAGGTACATGTGCTTGACTGGAATCAAACCTGGGATCCTTCAGTTCACAGGCTGACTGACGATCTATCCACTGAACCAAACCGGTTAGGGCCATATTTTCTCTTTATTAAATAGGGTAATTCTTAAAATCAGAAAGAAATTAATTTTCTAATCAGATCCTTTAAAACGTTAAGAAATCAAATGTGTGTTTTTAGTGTAAGCAAGAAAAATATATCTTAAACTTCCATCAGTTTAAGGAAATTGTTGCTCATGTTGCTAAACATTAAATTTTAATTTAAAAATGCATTTGAAGATAGCAATACACAGTTTTGGCAGACACTGACCAGTATTTTTATTTCAAAATAAACATTTTGCATTTCAAAAATATATACTTCAAAGGGGGGTATTTTTTTTTTTTTTAACTCAAATCACTAATAGAACATTACATTTTTTTCATCAGGTTAGCCAGTGATATGTAGATGAAAAAAAGGATGTTTCTTGTCTGTGAACAACACAGCACTTAGCAGATAGAAATACTGTACTGATTGCATTTGTATTACCTGAAAAAAGAGATTGAAAAAGTAATACATTGGAAGTAGCTTCACTAGAGAGCTATTTCAATTAAAAAAAAAACAACCCAAACACCTCACAATGGGATTGGATTAGAAAAGACTCAGTTTTGAACTGAGTAATTACAATTGGGTTTCTCCCAATAACACAACAATTAACATTTTAAATGGCATTTAAAAATAAGTGACTCTAATGCTAAACTAATATAAATAAAGAGTAGAAGCAGAATATCGATAGATTTGAAATGGGAGACAAACATCATGATCATTATTGCCAGCAGTTTCTGGTGGCATTCCTCAAGAACTGGCAATGTTAAATTTTTGAATATTGCTTCTTGCAGAAAGCGAGAAGAGAAATACAGACTTAGAAAATACACAGGAACAAACCCCAGAAGAGCAAACACCACACTATGAATGGCAGTCACCTCTGGGAGCAGAGGAGGATTGGTTGTGAGAGGAGGATAGCGGAGGTGACGGGACATTTTCACTTTTTAGTCTACATTCTTCTGGTTTGCTTGAATTTGTATCAATGAGAATGTTTTTATTGTATAATTTAAAAGGGGGTAATTAAAATACGTTTTAAAAAGAAAGTTAACTGCATTGTACAAAACAAAACCTTCAACTAATAAACAAATTCTGTAAAGTTGTCAACACACAGAAATCAGTTGCATTTTTATATACTAACAGTAAACAAGCTGAGAAGAAAACCACAAATCCATTTATAATAGCATCAAAAAGAATCAAATATTATACTTGGGAATAATCTTAACCAAGGTGATGAAAGAGTTGTCATTGAAAACTACAACAATATTGCTGAAGGAAATTAAAGAAGACACAATTAGAGGAGAAGTCATCCCATTAATTGGAAGGCTTATTCTTAAAATAGTCATACCACCCAAAGCAATCTACAGATTGAATGTAATCTCTATCAAGATCCCAAATGGAGTAGAAAACTCCATTTTAAAGTTCATATAAAATTTCTAAATAGCAAAAACAAAGATAAAAAGAAGAACAAAGTTGGAGTTCTGACACTTCCTGATTTTAAAAATTAATAAAAAGTACAGTAATTAAAGAGGTGTGATACTGGCATAAAAAAAGACACAGAGACTAATGAAACAGAATACAGAACCCAGAAATAAACTCTCACATATTTGGTCAAATGATTTTTGACAAAGGTGGCAAGACAATAAGAGAAAGGTCAGTATTTTCAACAAGGATTCAGGGGAAACTAGATTTCCACTTGCAAAAGAATAAAGTTGGACTCTTATCTTACACCATTTACAGAAATTAATACAAAGTGAATCAAAGACCTAAATATAAGAGCTAAAACTAAAAAACTCTTAGGAGAAAATGTCATGACACTGCATTTGGCAATGACCTTTTGCCTATAACACCAAATGCAGAGATAAAACAAATAAGAACTAGGTAAATTGGACTTAATAAAAATTAAAAACTTTTGCTGAGACCGGTTTGGCTCAATGGATAGAGCATTGACTTGGGGACTGAAGGGTCCCGGATTCGATTCTGGTCAAGGGCATGTACCTTGGTTGCGGGCAAATCCCCAGTAGGGGGTGTGCAAGAGGCAGCTGATCAATGACTCTTTCTCATTGATGTTTCTAACTCTCTATCTCTCTCCCTTCCTCTCTGTACAAAATCAATAAAATATATTTTTTTAAAAATTAAAAACTTTTGCACATCAAAGGGCACTATCAACAGAGAGAAAAGGCAACCCAGGGAATAGAAAAAAATATTTGCAAATTATGTATCTGATCAGGAATTACTATGTAGGATATTTAAAGAAATCCTACATCTAGTAACAGAGAACAATTTTTAAAAATGGGCAGCCGAAACCGGTTTGGCTCAGTGGATAGAGCGTCGGCCGACCGAAAGGTCCCAGATTCGATTCCGGTCAAGGGCATGTACATTGGTTGTGGGCACATCCCCAGTGGGGGGGATGCAGGAGATAGCTGGTCGATGTATTTCTCTCATTAATGTTTCTAGCTATTTATCTCTCTCCCTTCCTCTCTGAAAAATCATATTAAAAATATATATATTTTAAAAAATGGGCAAAGGACTTGAATAGACATTTTTAAAAAAAAGAAGATATATAGATGAATATAAGCACATGTAAGATGTTCAATATAATTAATTATTACAAAAATGCAAATCAAAATCACAATGAGACACCACTTCATACCAATTAGGATGTCTATGAACAAAAATGGAGACAGAGAAGCATCAAACAGATCGTCAAACCTCAGAGGGAAGGTAAGGGAGTGGGAGGGAGAGGATAAGAGATCAACCAAAGGACTTGTATGCATGCATATAAGCATAACCAATGGACGCAGATAGAAGGGGGCAAGGCCTTGTGCTGGGAGTGGGAGCAGCCAGTGAGAGGTTAATGGGGGGAAAAAAGGAGACATACGTAATACTTTCAATAATAAAGAATTTAAATAATAATAAAAAAAGAACAGAAAAGAACAAATGTGGCCAGTGGCCAGGATGTAAAGGAATTGGAACCCTTGTGCACTGCGAGTGGGAATTAAAATGGCGAAATGATGCAGCTAAAAATGAATATAACTGTTCCTCAAGAAATTAAAAATCAATTTATCCTATGAATCAAAATATACCCAGTTTCTGGATATATTACCCAAAATAATTGAAAGCGGGGATTCAAAAGATATTTGTACATTTATATTCACAGCAGCATTATTCACAATAGCCAAAAGGTAAAAGCATCTATATCTATTGATGGATGAATGGATAAGCAAAATGTGGTGTATATTTACTATAGAATATTATTCAGCCTTATAAAGAAGGGAAGTTCTAACACATGCTCCAAGAAAAGTTAACTTTCAGGATTTTAGGCTAAGGGCCATAAGCCAGGCACAAAAGGACAACTACTGGGGGATTCCATGTACCTAGAGTGGTCAACCTCATAGAAACAGAAACGGGACAGTGGTAGCCAGAGGCTAGGGGCCACTGAGAATGGAGAGTTATGTTTAATGGGTACAGAATTTCAGTTTGGGAAGATAAAAATGTTCTGGGGATGGATGGTGCTGATGGTTGCACAATAATGCCACCCAACTGTACACTTGAAACTTGTTAAAATTATAACTCTTACATTATGTATATTATACCACAATAAAAAGTTAACTGTAAATATGTTTGGGAGACATGGTGGTTGCAGAAAAATAACGGAGCTGTAAATACGCTCGAAAATAATGCACATTTAAACTTAGGAGAAAATGAGGTGTTGCAAGATTCCTCACTTTTGGCAAAATTCACAAAATTGAATGGCGTTTGGATTATTTGGTACCAAATATTGCATGACTGATTGATTCAAGATTTAGATACACATGCATTTAGGCAATTATCCATGGTCACTTTGGAATGCAAGCTCTGCATTCATGCTCTGTCGGGATGCAAAGTGGTCAGGCTTTAAAAAATTCGGTAACAGTTAACAAGCAAATAAAATTCTGTTATTCAGCAACAGGGATCTGGTTTTTCTTTCCTTCTTATCCCACAAAGTGTTAAAAGTTCTAGATCAGGAGCAGTTACCGGATAATAAAAGAAAGAAATAATTTGTAGCAGGTGGCTCTAATTGTGCCTATCAAACCTGTCGCTCAGTTGTGCAGAAGAGTGGAAAATCAATTAGCAACTACAAGCTTGGGTACTGGTGAGTGACAGGAGCGCCTTAACTTAGAGGGAAATCAGAAATAGAAGAAGATGATTACCCAGGCTGTTAGTGGACACTCCTGGATCTGGAGGGACGTTGCATTGCCAATCCTTCTCAGACAAATGCTGCTGTTGAAAAATATCTGAACGTGTATTGTCCCTCAAAGAGCCGTGCAGTGTAGGTTTTTATATCTTACCCTGTTGGGGTCTGAATGAATGACGTTCAGGAGTATGAGGCCCTTCCTTCCCTCACCCTGCATGTCCCAGGTTGGAGTCACTGCTTTGGATGCAGACACGTTTACAGAGCAGTGCTCATGTATGTTACCTGCCTGGGACAGATGCCTCACTGGGTTGAACCTGTGGTGAGGCGGGGAGGTTGGCTGGTGGCTGAGGAGCATGTCAGCACAAGGTCACCTGGGTGGACCTCGGAGGTCAAGGCTGGGACGAAAACAAGCTTGCCTGTGCCATAGTCCTGCTTTAGAGTTGGACCCCACATTAGCATTGGCTGCGGGATATAGTTAATCAGAGAAAAATTTAAAAATATTCACAGCATATTCATATATTCAGCTCAGGGGGAAATAAAGCAGCAGTATTTTTCTAAACATTTCCTATCATTTGTATGAAAGCCCCCACAGGTGTTTAGAAAATGGAGCACTCGAACTCTAGCAGATCTGCGTTACCCTGGCTCACTTTGGCACTACGGGTTATCTATAATGTCACCTCGAGTTTATCCATTTATTGAGTTATCCTACATTTTTTATTTGTTTTTCATATCTATTTTCTATTTCTTCAGCTGCTGGCCTACAAGCAGCAAATAATGATGATTACACCACAGTTTTTCTTCATTTGCTACAAACTGCCAATACGGTGCCTCTCACAAAATAGGTATTCAATAAATAATTTTCTAATAAACTCTTGACTATTGAATTTTTACAAAGTCAGATAACATATGAAAAATAGTTAACACAGTACCAAGTATATGACAGGCACTCAATAAACATCACACACACACACACACACACACACACACACACAGAGAGAGAGAGAGAGAGAGAGAGAGAGAGAGAGAGAGAGAGAGAGAGAGAGGGAGAGAATAAGACATTTTAAAAAGGTTAGACAATTAGACTTATTTTCTTCAGTGAAAACATTATTAATTTAAAAAATAATGAACAAAAGAGCACAGTTTTTTTGTCCAGGCCTCTGAATAAAGACCTATGTTGACTTCCAGCCCAAGGTGCTCTTGAAACCTTTGAGAAAATCAACAAATGGAGAATAAAGGCTTTTTCCTGGCCCGGGAGGAGAGAGGTAGAACTAAAAACAACACTAACTCATCAAAGACAGAGCTATATTCCATAGGAAGGGTCTGCTGAGCATCAAATGTCTCACCAGGCAATTTATTTTGCCAATGAAACCATTGTCCTATTTTCTGGCATTTGTGGGTATTTAAAAGTTGTTTTAATCCTCACTCAAGAATATATTTTTATTTTAGAGAGAGTGGAAAGGAGGGTGAAAGGAAGGGAGAGGCAGGAGAGGGAGAAAGAAACAGAAACAGAGAGAGAGAGAAACTCCTGTTCACACCCCCAACCAAGGATCGAACCCGCAACCTAGGCATGTGTCCTGACCAGGAATTGAACTTGCAACCTTTCTGGTGTACCAGAATGCTCTAACCAACTAAGTCACCCAGCCAGCATCCATGGGTATTTTAGAGGCAATGCCTAGATAAAAAAGAAAGAAGTGACTTTCTTGCAGTGCTATAGTTTTTTCATGGAACTACTTCTGTCTTCAGCAGGGAGCAGTAACTTTCATAGCCCTCACTATCCTTCTGATATAATAGTGACATTGAGGCTACTTCTGCCTTTGGTGCATCTATCCTCTGTGACACATCATAGCACACTGTGAATTGTACAGAGTGTCAAAAGGAAAACGGGGTGTCTATTAGCATCGAGAAGAAACCCGTGCACTGCAGCGTCTAACTCTAAACAAACAAACCTAAGACTTAATGGGCAAGTGTTTGAATATTTGAAACCTCTACAGTTTAGTTATACTTATTTTTGTTCTAAGAAAAAAAACAAAAACACGTGACTCACACACATTAAATTTTTAAAAAATTAATGTTAACTAGAATATTTCTTTTCTATTTCAAACAGAAGATAAACTCTAAATGCAACTGAATATATTAGCGAAGCCAGGTAATTGATAAATCTTTATGGAAAGTAAAAGTCACCTTGAATTACTCAAAAATCAATGGAGGAGTAACATCCTATGACTTAAATTCATCTCAACCAATAATTTAAGTAGTTTAATACTCTATTGTATAGTACACTTAGATTTTGATCAGTTACTTATTATGGCTAGATTTTATCATTCCAAGGGCCCTCACGTCAAAGCACAGTCATGCTTCTGACAGAAAGCTTCTACTTTACCTGTTTGTAATGGTCACAAGGGCAGGAGGACAGTAATAACCACTGGCAGCGTCGTCAAAGTTTCGAAGTACTGTGTCAATTTTGTAACAGAACCCACCATGTCTCTCCCAACCCTTAAGAGAGAAAAAGGAAAATAATATGATTAGTTAATTAGAAAGAGAACTTTTTAATATATATTCATATATATATATATATATATATATATATATATATATTTCAGAGAGGACGAGAGAGAGAGAGAGATAGAAGAAGCATCAATGATAAGAGAGAATCATCGATTGGCTGTCTCCTCCATGACTCACTGAGCCACACCCCACTGGGCTTTTGTATATTCTTATTTACTACACACCCCACTGTCTTCTCTGACCCACTCAGAACTCAAAACTTCAACTTGTCTTGATAGACTGGTATTCATTTTATCTGGTAATGTTATTAGCTACAATCACTTTTAGATTTGTTTAATTCTTAAAGCCTAAAAGTTCTAATTAACTTAAAACATAAAATCTTAAAAACAAGTGAATATAAAGGGACACTTTCTCAAGATTCTCACACACACACACACACACACACACACACACGAAGAGAAGGAGGGATAAAGGAAGGGAGAGAAGGAGTGAGAGAGAGAAAAAATATAGAATTTCATACAAATACAAATGGTTCCTATGGGCTAGTAGAAATTAAGAGTGTTGCCTTTGAAGACAGAATGCATGGGTTTGAATCCAGGCTCTACCCCCATGTGACATTATTTGATCTCTCCATGTCTTAGTTTTCTCCTCTGTAAAATGGGGTAATCACAGAATCTATGGGGCTTTTGTGAGAATCAAAGGAGAAAATGTAGGCAGAGACCTTGGAATAGAGACAGGAAGTCAGTGTGAGCAGAGGACACATGTATCTGAATCACAGTGTATATTTTCAACCTTCTTTCTAACTGCTCTCCCATGTTATCCCACTGAGATTCACTGAGGTTGGGACTGGGGTAAAGACACAGACCCATGGACAAGCTGACCTGGAACCCAATTCTGGGCAACCTAGGATGGTTTTGGCTGGATCATCATGCATCCAAATGGAGATTGGCCAGAATATATATATTTTTGATAAAGAGTATTCTTAAACCAATTGGTTAGACTTCTAGAGAGAAAGCATGCGTGCTTTGGCACTCAGACAAAAATGACAAATATGTGTTTCATGACTCAGCCCTGGAAGCAATGAAAGATCTCTATTATTTAAAATCATATGATACAGAGGACGTGCATCCATTAGTCTTCCATATTTCAACTGAATTATTTTATTTTTCCTTCAACATTGTAAAATCACATCATTCATAGCTATCTTCACCAGTTTTAAAGCACACTTCATTCTGTGCCATACCAATGCTTGCCAAAATTTGATCAGCTATATGACGATTCCTGCTATAATCTCAGTCTTGCAGTGAATTAAATAAAACTTAATTTAGAAATCAGCAATTTTAGTTCAAAACATACTGTCCAATGAGGTGAGGGTTACAGGAGTCCCACATCCAGCCAGCCAGGATGCGCTCTGAAGTCACTCCCTTAACATTGCTCCCCAACCTTACCTGCGTGGGTCACAACCCCCACCAGAGCCTCTCCTGGGTCACGCCAGCAGGTTAGACTGCCTTGGTACTTTGCAAGGACAGGCTGCGGGAGCCTGACAATTTGACCTTACTAACAAAGTTTTCTTTCTTCATTGGTGGTTTTTAGATCACAGGCTGCTTAGCAAAACAGAAAATCCAAGAACTGAACAGGCTAAAAAAAAAATGTGGCATAGCAATAACCAGAAAAACAAAGACTGTTTACTATAAGCCTTTGTGCACATAATGGAGTGGGAAGAATAACTGATTATATCCATGACTATCCTTTGTTCATGAGGTGCCATTTCATTTGAAGTGAAATGATGATGATGACACTGAAATAATTGCTCATACTGTGCCATCCCCAAAAAAGTGACTCAGAGGGAAAAATGAACCTTTTTCTTTGCTTTGAAATTATCAAGATTTATTTTACAAATTAATTTTGTATGTGCAGACTGCTTAGAGAATTACATTAAAGCCATTGCCAAAAAGAAAGGCGCCTTTTGAAATTATACCACAGACTGATGATGCATAAATAAATGAGTGGGAATTTTGCCCTCAAGTTGAGAAATGGGTCTGAATTCCACATCTTGAAATACTGGTGGTGCTGGCCAAGAAAGGAAGACAGGGTATAAAATTCGAATAGATCACTTCTGTTCCTGCCGTGTAAGAAGCTAACTGCCCTTCCAACACAAAGCGTGTTGAGTTGCCTTGAAAGACACAGTGAGATAAAAAATTTTTAATGTTTCTTTTTATAGAGATTAGATCAGTGATCAGTTATCACTAATTCTGGAATTATAATCATTAGATAAAATGTTCAACAACATGTCAGCTATGGCATGTGTATGTTCAGTTAGAGTATGAAGAGTCATGCTTATGCACTGATTAATAAATCAAATGCAGTTTTTGGAGAAATGTATTATTGTTCAATTGGTATATAAATTACTGGATTAGGAAAGAAAATAATTCAAGCAGGATTGTATACAAACCCAGTTTGGGAAAATTTTGATATTTATGCAATCTAAAAATCTCCAATATTTAAGTCCAAATTCGTGTGTGTGTGTGTGTGTGTGTGTGTGTGTGTGAAAGAGAGGACATGAGTAGGTATATTGAGGACACTGAGAGGTATATTTCTTTTTGGTAACTTTACTGCAAGAAAACATAATTTTCTACTTGTAAATTTAAACCTAAATATTAAGTGTTGTTGATTAAAGTACTGAAAATGCTTTTTTACTTAGAATATGAAAGTATTTTTTTATCCCGTTCCCAACTAATAAATATGTTGTGAGTGTGCACCTCTCTCCCTTATTGTATCCAGTCAAATACTTCAGTTTAAGAAAAGAGAACAGGAAAGCAAGCGTTTGGAGGCAGAAGTTCACTTTCTGGCTCAAAGGAAGGCATTCGCATTTACTCTGACATCCCACAGGAAGCCTATGAAACCCCAGGATACAGGGCATTGCAGGTACAGATGGTATAACGGTATTGTTTACATTTATTTTACCTCAAAAGAAAAGTAGTCTTAGGTGGAAGAGGATAGCAGGCAAACCCTCGCAGAGCTATAAATCCACCATGTGACTCTAGCTGATAATTGTCTGGTTTGTTAAAAGTAGCCCACACTCAACGAAAAAGAGGAGGGAAGGAAAGTAACCTGGGAGGGAGGTAAGGAAGGGAAAGAGAGGGAGGAGGGAGTGAGGTAGGAGAGAGAGAGAGGGAGAGAGGTTCATTATAAGTAGACAGGGAATAAGTTTTTCTATTATGAAGGGCCTGTACCTAAATCACAAGGTTAATGGCACTTACCTCTAGACAGCCTGATTCAGCGTCGGAGAGCACATGGCCTGCTTTCTCACAAATGTAAGAAAGTGCCTCTTCACAAGGTTTAACTTTCCAGTGTCCTTCCTGAGTGGGGGAGGATTACAAAATGAATGAATGCCCACCATTACTGATGCTAATAGGCAATACCCATATTCTGAATAAAAATATGACTGACAATAAGTGATTCAGGATGGAGGAATATGTTAGGACCTCCTGCTGTCATGACAGAGGACTTCCCCTCTCTGTCATGTACCTCGGACAGGCTGAGCTCTAGGGGAATATGTAGCTCTTCCATGACACTAAGAAACATCCTGGGTAGGAGGCTGACACCGTCACCTGTAAGAGCATTCTGAGCTTCCCCCGTGGCGTCTTCAGTTACAGGAGAGCAGAAAGCACACTGTGGGTTGCTTAATGACTATTGGATGGATGGATGGATGGATGGATGGATGGATGGATGAATGGATGGATGAATGGTTTCCTAGGTTCTCATATTCAAATTTGGGCTCCACCATGCTTAGGTAACTTGTTCACCATGATAATTATATTCATAATGCATTCTACTTCAAGGGAATAAATGTTACTTTTTATACATCTACTGTTTTAGGAGCCACTGAGCTGACAAAAAAAGAGACCTCAAAAAACACACAGTGCCTTATCCTGACACACCCAGTGATATTAACCCCTGCCTTTATTCTCTGAAAAATAATTTCTCTGTCCAAATGTTGGCTCCCGTTCTGTGAACATGCTAAGTGAAATGCCCATGTTTGTCAAATAAAACGGGAGAATGTCAGTGGGAAATGAAGGTCATCTCTGTTATATCAAAACTAACGAACCAGCAGAGCACTGAATGTTGTAGAATAAATTGCGGTGGCTTTCAGTGGAGCCAGGACAAACACTGAGAGAGCCCTGTGGCTCGGAGACACTGCCTCGCCGCTGTAATTACAGCGGCACATATCGGGGCAGCCTTATAGGGTAAAACCTTCAAACCTGTGCTGAGAAACTGCCCATGTCTGATCAGCACAATTCCTTTGCCAAGCTATTTAAGGAACATGGATGAAAGTGCATTCTGGAGGAACTCGATAAAGGGTGATCTGAAAGAGTAAGGAAGGACATCCACCAAATCCCAATAATCTAAACTCAGCCAGTAAGGTCAGCAGCTAGCTGACCAAGAGAGTAACTCTATTCTAAACACATAAGAAGCCCTTCAAATGGCTTGGGATTAAACTAATTCTGCATAATCAGATGTTTTAGATAAAAGAGAAGCTTGAGATGTGAAGGTCACTGGGACCATTACCGTACATTCATCCAAGGAAAAGAGCAAAATTTCCCACTGATGCACCATCTTCAGAGGTGGCACACACTGTTGAAAGCCTTTTATGTTAAGAAGATAATGGAGCTTAAGAGCCATGACTCTCAACACCCCAGTCCTCTCTAGTCTTCATCACCCTAGATAATGCCAAGATGATGGTGGCTCAGGCTGTAAGCTGACCTCTCCTGCACCCCTGCATCTATTTAACAACCATTCCTGCCTTCGGGATCCTTGGATCTGTCTGCTGTCTCCACATTCACTACACCAATTCAACCACTGAGGAGCCTCCAAACTGCTTTCTCTGCTTCCACTTCTACCAGCCCCAATCTGTTCTCTATGGAGCAGCCACAGTGACTGTTAAAAATGTAAATTAGGCTGAAACGGGTTTGGCTTAGTGGATAGAGCGTCATAGACTGAAAGATCCCGGGTTTGATTCCAGTCAAGGGCATGTACCTTGATTGCGGGCACATCCCCAGTAGGGGGTGTGCAAGGGGCAGCTGATTGATGATTCTCTCTCTATGTTTCTAACTCTCTATCCCCTCTCTTCCTCTCTGTAAAAAATCAATAAAATATATATTTTTAAAAAAATGTAAATTAGATTTTGCCCTCCATTTCTTTGAAGCTTGAGAGTGCTTCCTATCCTTGATCCATAACCCACACATTTTGGCATTCCTCTTGCCCCATCTCCTGCCACCCCCTCACCCTTCACATCTTTTCGCCACACTGGCCTTTCGAATTATCAAATATGGCAAGCCTTGGCCTGCCGTTGGGCTTTTGCACGAACCACCCTGACTGGAATGTTATCTCCCTGCTCTTCAAGAGGGTTTTTGTTGTTGTTCTCTAAGTCCCAGCTTACATGTCACGTCTTCAGAGTGCCTTCCCTGGCAATTCCATCTGAAGTAGCTGCCCCAACCATCATGTCCTCCGTTTCCTCAGAGCCATCATGACAACTGTCACCACCCTGTTTCCCCTGTGGTACATGGTTACTGGCCAGCAGGGAAGCTCCGTGAGGAGCAGGGACTGTGCCGTTCTGGTGGAGGTGGCCTTCCATACAAGTCCAGCAAAGGGAGCATTGAACAAACAAACAAACTTACAGATTCCTCAGCTGAGACACATAACTGGCTTCTATATGGAAAAATTTGGGGCTCATGTGTATGCCAATTAGTAAAGGTGACTGTAGAGCCATTAGACCATTCAAAGGAAACAGGAGTTTTATTGCTGCTTAAACCAATCCATGTTTCGGATGCATTTTCTGTAAGAGACAAATATAAACTACTTAAAGGAATCCTATTATATGCAAAGGAGATAATGCACTGGCACTATTATCAAAATATACCACTTTGCAAGGGATTTCTTCATGTGATGAAACCTGATTAAGTCTTATTAAAAATACCAGCTTAAACCTTTTTCTCTACACTGTGCTAGCTGATCTGCTTGATACCGGCGTTAGATGTTAGGCAGAGTGGGAGGTTCAGCCAATGCTTAAAAACCAGGGACTCTAGATCCTGCTAGTGGAAGGAAAGTAGATCTGGAAAGTTTGTTTTTGTTTCTGCCTACAAAAAGGAAAAACAGGAAGGTCTATTGGATTAGGAAAAGGCACACACAAAATAACTTTTAATGGTAGTCTAGCTTTATGATACATTTCTTTTTCTTCTTTTCTTTCTTTTTTTTTTTTGCCAGGAAAAAAGGAGCAGAAACTCTTAAAAGCATGGAAATAGGAGCAATGGGGTTGCCCGAAACAGAAATAAAATTAGACAGCCCAGGTTGGGTGAAAGACCCCATGTGGCTGAGGGATATGCCCAAGTGCTGCTATTGATATGGAGGCAGCCACAGGATTCTTTAAACACCAATGGGAAAGGTGAGGAGAAATGACAGAGACATTTCTTTGTTTTCACCCTAAATTAAAATCTAACTTGAAAAATTCCTCAGAATAGAGTCTGGAGATTTTTATTTTCATTTAAAAAATTTACTCTAAGTCAATGGTTTTAATATTTCCTGGCAGAACTCTATATTAAATCCATGACATAGATAGAGGCAGATTCCTTTTGATGAACTAAAGCTGGGTGAAGGTCTGGAAACCTGGAACTCCCAAACATGTCACGAAGCTTGAAAAGCACCACACGAAATAAATTATCTATTTTCACTGGCTGAAGTTATTTTAATACAATTATTTTTCTAACCAATTCCTTTTAGTGCTTAGATTATATGACCACAGCATATTATTGCTATCCAGTGGCCATAGAGCTAAATTATAGGTTTAGGGTTTTTTAATAGAAGTTTCAAGAAATAACATTTGCCCCTTTAAAAAATTTTTTAAAAGTTACTATATTGTATCTCATACCTCTTAAATCAAAGACATTTGACACTCACCATCTCCAAGGAGGGTTACAAGAAGCTCCACCTCTGCTAACGAAGCTATGTCTATCAATGTACTGTTATCAGACTGGCAAGAATGCAAAGCCTCATTCCAGGTCTTTCCTTCTTTCTGAAGTTTATAGCAATTCTGATTGTGGGGATTCCAGCCGGGCTCACAGTGGGTAGCATAGTATTTCCAAGCATCTTTTTCTTTTTAAAACAACAACATAAACAAAAACAATTTCATTTCCCACATTTAAAAAAACATTACTCATTACTCTTGATATAAATATTGTTTTTAATATAAGAATAAATATAAGTGATGACATCAGAATATGATTAAAATTTTGAGAAACAGAAAAATGAAACAATAACATGAATTATAGGATCCCAGGCCTTCAGAGTTGAGAAGGACCCAATCTATGAGCCAGACCTAATGGATCCCAGTGCTTCATTTTCCAGATGCGCTTTCTAAAGCACAAAAAGATAAGGGGACTTGGCAAAGGTCAGGTAGTCAAAGCTGAGAGTCAGGGCTAGGTATAAAATTTACCAGTTATAGATCTCCATTAAAAAAAAAAAATCTTTTCACACTGAAAAAGGGCTGTTAGGAACCATAATTTAAATTATATTTTATATACAGTACTGGCCTGCAGGATCAGGCCAAAATTGGCTCTCTGACATTCCCCAGGGGGTCCCAGAGAGCACAGGCCAGGCCGAGGGACCCCATTGGTGCATGATCAGGGTTGGGGAGGTAGGCGGGAGGTTGGCCAGCCAGGGAGGGACCGTGGAAGGGTCCAGGGTGTGTTCAGCCCAACTCACTCAGTCCTAATTGGCTGAACCCCAGCAGCAAGCTCACCTACTGGTCGAAGCATCTTTCCCTGGTCGTCAGTGCATGTCATAGTGTCTGGCCAACTGTCTGCCCTCTGGTGTCAGTGCATGTCATAGCAAGCTTGTTGAGTAGCCTTAGCATGTCATTAGCATATTATGCTTTGATTGGTTGAACGGCCAACTAGATGACCAGACACTTAGCATATTAGGTTTTTATTATATAGGATGTTGGTGGGGATAGATATTTATCCTGGGCTGAAAAGAGTCAGAAGTTCTGGCCAATTCCTCTAAAGCAGAGATGACAAGTAACTTTCATCTTGAGGGTAGGGTGAGTGCCTATGGCATCCCTCTGGATTCTTAGGAATGCTGGGTTAGAAATAGAGGAAAATGGTGTCATGATGCTTTGAGATTAGAGGGGAAGGAAGGGGTGTGCATGGCAAGTTTGGACTCTTTTCGTCCAGGAGCTTGTCCCCAACCTGGTGACAGCATCTTTATTTTATTAACCACAACTGAGTGCCTCCCTTAAGCACTAATTTAATTAGTTGCGATTCCACTGCAGTATGGGAAACAACCTTCTTTTTAAATTGCTTTTATTTATTTTTTATTTTTTAAAAATATATTTTATTGATTTTGTACAGAGAGGAAGGGAGAGAGATAGAGAGCCAGAAACATCGATGAGAGAGAGTCATCGATCAGCTGCCTCTTGCACACCCCCCACTGAGGATATGCTCGCAACCAAGGTACATGCCCTTGATCGGAATCGAACCTGGGACCCTTCAGTCCCCAAGCCAATGCTTTATCCATTGAGCCAAACCGGTCCCGGCTTAAATTGCTTTTAGGGACCTAGCTGAATTGGCTCAGCAGATAGAGCACCCACCTGAATTGAACCAGGACCCTGTGGATGGAAGGGTCCTGGTTTGATTCAGGTCAAGGACACATACCTCATTTGGAGGCTCAGGCAACCAATCGATGTTTCTCTCTGTCTTTCCCTCTCTCTTCCACTCTCTCTAAAAAAAAATCAATGAAAAATATCCTTGGCTGAGGATTGGGAAAAAAAAAAGAAAAAAGAAAAAAATTATTTTCAGTGCTCTGACAGCAATTAGCACCACAGTTGAAGATTGTAGAAACTTTAGTATCATCTACCAAGTGGTTTTCAACCTAAAAAATAATGTCAGAGACCCTCTTTTAAATATGGTACCTTAAATTTCACTTCAAAGATAAGATAAAAAGATAAAACAGGAGCTTCTCCAAAGAACTCTTATCATATTTACATAACCCATAGACACAGACAACAGTGTGGTGGAGGCCTGGGACAGGATTGCAGGGGCGGGCTAGCAGGGGTCAATGGGAAACAAAAGGGGACATATGTAATACTTTTGACAGTAAATATTTTTTAAAAACAAAAACAAACAAAACAAAAACCGCAGCTTCTCCGATGGAAGAGAAGGTAGACTCAAGCAAAGAACCTGGAATGCAGGATCCTGAAACGCAGTTTGAAAACACTGGAAGGGATCATCAAAAGGACTTGTTGAACTTGAAGCAACAGTTATTAATCCAAACAAATTTAGCTTAACTGCCCTCATTTCTGGTCTCTGGCTTCAGTTAGTAGATCAGGGGAGTAGATAAAACAAGAAAAAAAGGGGAGTAGAAGGGAGTGCAAGAAACCATAAGAATGAACAAATAAAGAAGGAAGAAATGGAAAAAGGAAAATGATAGGAAGGGAAGAAGGGTATGAGCAATTTCAGCACATTATTGAAACAATGAAAAATATCTCAACACAAAACAGGCACAGTGCTTCTTCTATCCTGCCCCAGAACTCTACAATAGCCTGAGACTTAGCTGTGTAAAGAAAATTTAGAAAGTTAAGGCCTGGTTGTAAGGAATAATATTTTAAAATGATAATTCAGCTTGTTATTTTAAATCTAGAGTTGTTTCTGATTATTCTGGTAATGATTCTTTTAACAATGGCTAGGTTTTAATCTCTGCTTTTTAAGTTAAGACATTAATTTCCACAGAAACTAAAAAGAGGTAATAGACCTTCAATAGACAGAAATAATTGGATGTCCAGGTACTAGATTGTAATTAGGTAGTATTCAAGTTACACCTAAAGTTTTGCATGTTATTTCAGAAGGAGGATGTCTTATTATTTAGAGCTATAGCGTGTGATAGAAAATCAATGAAGCAAAGAATTTTCTAAAACTGTTTTCTAATTTACATTTAATTTCTAGGACAACTATCAATAAAACTCAAAATTAGAAGAGAAAAGGAAGCTTTTTAAACACAGAATGATTAAGAACGCAAATTTTTTAAAAAGAGAGGAAGAAGCCGAAGCTGGTTTGGCTCAGTGGTAGAGTGTTGTTCTGCGGACTGAAAGGTCCAGGGTTTGATTCCGGTGAGGGGCATGTAAGTTGGTTGCGGGCACATCCCCAGTAGAGGGTGTGCAAGAGTCAGCTGGTCGATGTTTCTCTCTCATCGACGTTTCTAGCTCTCTATCTCTCTCCCTTCCTCTTTGTAAAAAAATCAATAAAATATATATTTTTAAAAAATAATAATAATAATAAAAAAGAAAATGCTTGGTTTTCAAATGCTTAGGTTACTCTGCTTTAGTTTTTAGTAAAAACCTAAATGCATGTATTAAATTCATGGCGCCTTTAGAACAACCATGTCAAACTCAAAGGCTAACACAGGCTTAAGTTTATGTGGGCCACAAAAACAACAACTTAAATTTTCATAGAAAACAGGTTTATTTCAATTGAGACATGTTGAATAAAAGGGCTGAAATAAATGAGTAATCATTAACATAAAACAATAGAAAATTAATATTTTTTCTTAAACATAATTAACTTACCAGACACTGAATAACTGCACAAATTAATAAGCGTAACACAAATAAACCTGTTTTTCTTGTTCTCTGAAAGCGAAATATTTCCTGTTGCGCACACCAAACAAGTCAATCCAAGACTAATTACATAGCAATCGGCTTCTAAAATATTTGCTGCTAGTATTAGTGGAGAGAAATGGTGTGCCTGCCTGTAAGGTGCATAAGGGAAATGAATGCAGCACGCTTATAGTAATCAGTCATGAGCAAACGTTGTAGTTTGTTATTAATAATTATGTACAACAAGATATTGTAAAAATTAAGTTACGAAGTTTTTGTTAAAACGTTTCTTACATTCTGTTGTATTGGCTGGGCCACAAAAATATTAGTTGTGGGCCACATATGGCCCACGTGCTGCGAGTTTGACGTGCTTGCTTTAGAATAACAAATATTATCTTGTTGTACATTTTTAATCCTACCAATACAAAACTAACCTTAGCTAAGTTTAAATTATGAATTATTAGCAAAAATGGAGGACTTTGACTATATTGAAAGGACAAGTAAGCAACTCATAAGAGGAACTCAAAATGAAAACACTTACCCACTACTTCTTGATCAGAGTGGTTTAAGTATTTTTCACAGACGTAAGGTAAGGTGGCCTCACAGTCCCGAACTCTCCAGGCATTTGTCATAAATGGATTAAATGTCCCACAGCGATATTCAACAAATGGCTCAAAACTTACTTCTGAAAATACAGTGTTTGTGTAGGTCATGTTAGAAGCAAAAGCAGTCAGTATAATCTATATTGAAATGTAGCCTTAGCATCCACGATACATTCCTTCTCTTTGACATATACGTTAAATCCTTTAAGACCTTATATTTGTGATTTTGCAGTTGAAGTCCAGACATGACAATGAAATGACTTTCTATAGTTGGCAATAGTGGATTTTATTGTGTTAAAGCAGAGAAATGTTTTGCTCTTTGTGGCTATTTTTAAAACAGCTGACTAGAATTTTGGCTCTGACCCAGATCTTCTTGCAACCCTCACTAAATACACAGCTTCCCTTTTTGGCCTCCATTTTCTTGTCCGGAAAACCCTTACAGGAATTAAGTCAGGTTTAACATTTTTTTGTAAGCCACTTTCAAAAAAGTTTTTACATTTCATATGGGGGTAAGTGCTAAGTGATACTTTCAAATAATCTACTTAACATATTTAAATATTAGTTCTTTTTATCTTAGAGTTAATTTTGAATACTCTGTATGCAATTGTTTTAACAGCACATATACCAGATATATGTGAGAAATACTGCTTCAGGCTGCCACCTGATGATGCCACCTGAGTCAGGCTGTGGGATGATGCCACCTATTGAAGGTAAATAAAATGCCGCGGGTACCTGGATTCCAGTTTAGATGGCTGAGTGGGGTTCTGTCGGACCACTGCCAGCCAGCATTTTCATCCAGCTGGTTTAGACCCATCCACACCGCCAGCGTTTCACCCCTTAAGTGCTCTGAAATGAAGAGAAATTAGTTTTAAAAAGATCAATGTTACGTTTCTTTCTTGTTTTTCTATTCCTGGAACACAGAGTCATAAATTAACACCAGTCGATGACAGGAAGGGTTTAAATGCTACTAACCCCACTCTGGTGCTTCAGAGTAAAGAAGCCAGCCTTGTCCAGCTGGCGTGGCTCAGTGAGTGAGCATTGACCCATGAACCAGGAGGTCACAGTGATTTTCAGTCCGGGCACATGCCTGAGTTGTAGACTAGATCCCCAGTAGGGGGCATGTAGAGGCAACCAATTAATGACTTTCTCTCATCATTAATCTCTCTCTCTCTCTCTCTCCCCCTCTCCCTTCCTCTCTGAAGTCAATAAAAACATGAAGAAGAAGGAGAAGGAGAAGGAGAAAGAGAAGGAGAAGGAGAAGGGGAAGGGGAAGGGGAAGGGGAAGGGGAAGGGGAAGGGGAAGGGGAAGGGGAAGGGGAAGGGGAAGGGGAAGGGGAAGGGGAAGGAGGAGGAGGAGGAGGAGGAGGAGGAGGAGGAGGAGGAGGAGGAGGAGAAGAAGGAGAAGGAGGAGGAGGAGGAGGAGGAGGAGGAGGAGGAGGAGGAGGAGGAGGAGGAGGAGGAGGAGGAGGAGGAGAAGGAGAAGAAGGAGAAGAAGGAGAAGAAGGAGAAGAAGAAGAAGAAGAAGAAGAAGAAGAAGAAGAAGAAGAAGAAGAAGAAGAAGAAGAAGAAGAAGAAGAAGAAGAAGAAGAAGAAGAAGCCGCTGCCAGCCTCGCCTTGTCTTGAGGAACAATCAGTCTCCTGGAGACTCACTGAAATGTATGTAAGCACTAGAGATGCTGCCTCTCAGTGGTTGTCAATCCATCCGAGTGCATGGTTACGACTCTGAGACCATTTCATTTGTGTGCACTTAGGGTTGCAGAGGGTGATGGCTAGTGTCCAGGGCCACTCCCAGAAAGACTTTCTTGGCTCCCCACATGTGACTGGAGACTTCAGCTTGGAGACTTAATTCCTATATGTCAGGACTCCAGCTGAGGAGTCTAGATCCAGGTGACCAAAGGACCCAGAGGGATCCGTAGCAGGTTGTAATGTAAGGGCCATGCATGAAGCAAATGATTCTTCAACTTGGGGTGAAAAGTGTTTTGGTCAGGCTGGCTCTGTGGCCCCTACTCCTTCCTACCCACTGTGCCACAGGCCCTCAGGTTTTAAGTTGACGCCATTTTGGTTATAAATACTATGTATAAACATGTGCATCGACACATATTTTGATCTTCAAATTAAAATTGAAGAATTAATGGAAATATTTCTTGTTTTTTCTTCTTTTTGTGCACTTGAATTAAAAAAATTATTCTAGAGTAAGCATCTACTACTTGTACTATAAAATATGGGGTTTGGGGAGACAATGTGTGAAATGTGTGAAAAACATTTAGTGAAAGTGGCTAATTTTGTGACACTTTCAAATATTGCCACTTAATTTTATTTATTTATTTATTTATTTATTTATTTATTTATTAATTATGTAACATGGTTAATATAGTATATAAATTTTAGGTGTACAGCATTACAATTTGATATCTGTTATTGCATGCTTACCATCAAAAGTCTAGTTTCTATCCATCATCCATATTTCACTTTCTTTTTCCTTTTAATCTTTTCATCTATAAAGGAGAGCCTTGTTCTCTCATGGTCCATCTGCTTTGGAACCCAATTTATTTTGCATCAAATGTAGGCGCCCTGCCCAAGACTGAGACCCTGACAGATAAGAGTTGTAAATAGGGTGGCTATCTGTCCCAATTTGCCTTGAAAGCTCAAGGTCTATGTTATGTTGTTAGCTCCCGAGTAATGATGAATCACAGTTGCTTTTATCCTCAAAAGAGTCTCAGTCTGGATGATCCATTGCACAGTCACCCAGGTTATAGGAGTCAGTGTATTCACTTAACAAGGCTGCAGCATCCTCTGTGGTTGGCCATTTCAATATAATATTATATTTAATATTTCAATATAATATTTCAACTGGAAGAATCTAACACAATTAGGAAGGAGAAAAAGGTGCTTTATAATTTTGAGAGCCCAGAAATCACTAAACAGAAATAGCATAACATTCATGGGCCCTGCCCTTCCAAATTCCTGAGGCATTAACATGGAATCTCTTTCTAATGCTGATTAGTTCAGTCCTTTCAATGTCATTGTTTGATTAAGTCATATATTGATGGCAGACGGCAGAATGGAAGATGGATGGACAAGATGGAGAAATTTTCACATTTCATATGCTGTAAGTGCCAAGTCATATTTTCAAATAACCTACTTAAAATATTTAAATATTAGTTATTCTTACTAGAGTTAATTTTGATACCCTCTGTGCAATTGTTTTAACACTACACATAAAAAATCATTATGTAATTTATAATCTTGTTTATAAGTATCAAAACAGTCTATTTTACTTTAAGACTAAATTGATTCATAATTCTATAGTAACAAACTCAAACCTAAATTCCTTTGGGTAGCTCTTGGCACTTGTGAAAGCTTAGGTAATCCCATATACCATAGTTAGTGTTCATCAGTGATAGTAGCCTGTTCTCATCATTAAAAAACACCTTGATCAGAATAGGCTTCTCCATTTATGAACAGACAATCCCCCGTCTAATTATAGAATTGTGGTATTTAAATAAAAATCTCTGACATATTTTTAAATTGTTATTTAAGTTAGATGAGCAAGTCCAAACCCTCTTATTAGAAATACTGACAGTGAAAATAGGTAACAATTATAATTCATAAGTAGTATGCAAAATTTTCTATGAAAATCATTACAATCTAACAATGACTTTGGAAATGGTGTTTTTCTAAAATGTGATTCACTCAAATCAATTTCAATGATGACTTTTCACTTTTGCATGTCTGTGGGGAAAGGAGCAGGTATGAATTTTTCATGGATTTGTTACAATCTTTCTGGAAGATATTAATGACTTCTCCAAACCTTAAAGAATGCTTCCACTTCCACTCAGTGAATCTACTTCTACAAAGATCCTAAATAATAAAGAAGTGATATGCAAATTGACCCTGACGCTCTCACACAAGATGACCGCCCCCATGTGGTCAAAGATGGCTGCCACAAGATGGCCAGGAGGGGAGAGCAGTTGGGGGGAGGTGGGTACCAGGCCATCAAGGATGGCAGTCAGGGGCGACCAGGCCAGGAAGGGAGGGCAGTTATGTCTTAGAGATGGAAAGATGTTCATTATATTAAAATAAGTAAATTAAGTATAATACCAAACTGTGTGCATGGTACTTAAATGGTTAACACATGAATGTTTGTTGTATGTACCAGGCACTTCTCTAAAATTTCACATGCATTATAACATGTATTCCATATCGCCAAGTGGTAAGTATTATTATTAACTAGAGGCCTGGTGCAAGAAATTCATGAACTTGGGGTGGGGGGGGTGTCCCTCAGCCTGGCCTGTGCCCTCTCACAGTCCAGGAGCCCTTGGGGGATGTCCAAATGACGGTTCTGGCCTGCTGGAGTGGGCCTAAGCTGGCAATCAGACATCCTTAGCGCTGCTGCAGAGAGGGGAGAGGCTCCTGCCACCACCGCTGCACCTGTCAGTCATGAGCCCTTCTGGTTGAATGGTGCTCCCCCTGTGGAAGCCTACTGACCACCAGGGGGCAGTTCCTGCATTGAGCATCTGCCCCCTGGTGATCAATGCACACAATAGTGACTAGTCAGTCCATTGTTCAGTCAATTTGCATATTAGCCTTTTATTATATAGGATTCCATTTGATAGATAGAAGGAAGTGGAGGCACTTGCTTAGGTAGCCTTGCTAGTAAGTGGTAGAGGCAGGATTCAAACCCAAGGAGATGGCTCTTTGGTCCCTGCTCCTAACCTTAGAGTTAATAGAGGTGCTTCCTATTTTTATTCAATACAGTTTTTCAGAGATACTATGTATATATGCATGCATTTATGTGTTAGCTAAAATAAGTGGTTCCATCTGAATTGTGGAATTATGGGAGACTTGTTTTTCTTTCTATATACATAGAAATTTAAAATTTAAAATTTATTCTAGAATAGAATAAACATATACTACATATGCAATAAAATTTGAAAAAGGTGTCAGTCACCATTAATGAAAATAATTAATTTTGTGACATTTTCAGATGTTTCCAATTTTTTTTTATAGCTGTTTATGCATATACACAAACTCATTTAATCTTTAAAGGAGACGAGGGAGAGAGTTTAGGTGATAAGTGAAACACAAGACCCAGCTCATAATCACAACTCATTTGACATATTATTCTCCTATACTATTAGTTACCATGTGTGTGCCTTTGCCTTTCCAACCAAATTTTAAATTCTTTGGAATCCTACTACATACTGCACACAGTAACAGGAAAGATTTTACTTAATAAATTACTTGATTATTTATTAATTGGAACTAAACAGCTAAGACCTCTAGCAGAGCAGGGATTTGTACTTAATGTCCAAGTCTCCCAGATTCACTTGCTTTACTGCAAGCTCTGATTCCCTTGCTGGGGCCTCAGCTTCTCTTCTACAAGGGCGAGAAAATAAGGGTGCCAAATGGAATGGCCTGGGTGTGAATTTGGACCATATTAATAAATGAAATATTTCCCATGGAACACCCTCCCCAGAATATATCTTTGCATATGTGGACATAATTGTTAACAATCATTTAAATTGTATCAATATCAATGTCCTACTTACTCCTTATGAAACTTTCTTCAGCCTCATCTGCAATACTTAGTAAAGCGCCACCTTGCATCTGGCATGACGAATGTGCCTCGCTCCAGGAGAGAGAAGAAAGCAGGTTGAATTGGTAGCAAATGTGTGAATTGAGATCCTTCTCCCAGACAGCATCGCAACCCATCTCTGCCGATGCTGGAAACAAAAGCCATCAAACTATTAGCTGTAATTTTTTTCTCTATAGGGCCATATGCTTCTAAGAGGAATTTGAAATGGAATCATTCCAAACTGCAGCCTCTAAAACTTCTGTATTTTATTGATTCTGATTAGGTCTCTAGGATGAAATCTGCATTTGTATCCCATTGGTACTTTACGGTTATACTCTTTCAAGATTTAAAGGAACTTCTAGAAATTATCAATAAAAAAGCTCTATCCTTTGGGGGAAAGAATAGAAGGCATTTTTAAGAGAAGGAAATAGAAGTGAAGAATTTGTGAAAATAACTTCTGAGTCCTTTAACAAGTAGTCATTTAGAGCTTTATACACAAAAGCTGTATGACTGTAAAGATTTATTTGAGGTAGATGCAAGTGTGATTTCAAAAGGCTTCCCCCACCAAAACCAAAATGTTAAAGGAAATGAAAGGGATACAGTTGACATATGAGTCTATAGAGAACACAGTTTTCACATAAACACTGAGAACAGGAAAACCGATATTTAATTTTATAAAGTTCTTTCAGCCAAAAGGAAGAAAAGCACTTATAAAACATTGACCAACAATTGCATAGTATGTTTAAAAGTAAATTTAATAAAGATAAAATGTGGGTCGAAAATCTGAAATTTATTGAAAATGCAGACCTAATTTGAATGCTTTTGCTAAAGGTTTAAACCAAAACCCAAGGTGAACTAAGCAGCTACAATAATTACCTGAAATAATTAAAAAAAATAATTATCTGAAATCAAACTCAGCCAAAGAATTTCACAATGTAGAAAACATGACCCATGCTACAGCATGAGTGTAAGTGATGGACAACAGTCTGCTAAAAACTAGAACAGCCTTTCCGCAAGTGTGATCCACAGAATAGTACAACTTCAAGAGCTCCCCAGGTAGATCCAGGACCTCACGCCTGTGTAGGTAGCCTTCTGTAAGGAATTCATAATGTACATTCGCTTCTTAAAGGCTCTGAGAAGAAAGAGCTTAACTTTATTTCAGTATATTTCAAACTTATCTGACAATGAGTTCTTTTTTTTTGTTTGTTTGTTTGCTTTCTTTTTCCCACTGTAATAGTCAGATATCCTTGCGAATGTGGAAAGTTTGTTCCATGTCTGTTTGCCACATGCTTTCCCCAGAACTGTGTTGGTTAACCATAAGTTATCAAAGCACTAATACATCCAAAGTTGTCTGAAGAGTTTCTTTTAAAAAAAATAAATAAATAAATAAAAAATATATATCAATATATATATATATTTTTTGTTTGTTTTGTTTTGTTTTGTTTTGTTGTTGTTGTTGTTGTTGATTTTTTTACAGAGAGGAAGTGAGAGGGATAGAGAGCTAGAAACATTCCCGGTGGGGGTCAAGAGAATCATCGACCCCACCGGGAATGTGCCCACAACCAATGTACATGCCCTTGACTGGAATCGAACCTGGGACCTTTCAGTCCACAGGCCGACGCTCTATCCACTGAGCCAAATAGGTTTCTCGGCTAGAGTTTCTTGACTGATACATGTATTTATAGGAAGATGCAAGATTGTAGGAGGGTAGAAAACAAGGCTACCACCAAGTAAAACAACTGTAGAAAAGTAAGAGAAAGAAAGGACATTTTCAGGCACCCTCTTGCCCTGCCTGGTGGCTGAAATGTCTGAGTCCTTAGAGATTGTTTTCTGTTAAAATATTAGGCCATCCCCAACTGGACAGCACACTCTGCATTATCAGACAGGAGTTCACCCTGTGACAGCTGAGGCTCTGAGGGAGGAGCAGGAGGACGTTTACAAGGCAAGCGTGCATAAAAATCATTTAGCTAGCTTGTAAAAAAACTTGCAGATTCCTTGTTTTCTGAATCAGGAGGTCAGGAACCCTCATTAAACACATTCCTGATTTTCAGGCAGATGGTGCATGAAGCAAGCACCAGCCTAAAAGAAAAACTCAAAGCACTTCCCAGGAGGGCAGGTCTGAGTAGCCTTCTGTACTATAGAAGGTGGGTAAGATGTGAGAAGGGGAGCTATAGGGAGAGGATGTCAGAAGTCCTGGGAATAGGATGGAGACCACTCCTGCCCAGGGTAAAGATTCTACAATAAGTCTTAATTATAAGCCTCCGGGCCGAAGCCATATCATGATAAGAAAAGGTCTAGAGTCTAGAGGATACTTCAATTGATCGTATCCTAGTTTTGTCCTCTCAATAAGACAGAGATGGAGCTATGTGGACACAGTCTTTTGTAGTAACCTGATTGAATTCTACTATACCTTTAAGTTTAAGGCTTAAACAGCTAAGTTAGAGGCTTGCTAGTGATCCCGTATGTGCGTAAATGATATAGACGGTTTTCTTCAATTTCTCTTGGTTTTGGATTATCTGTGCAAATTCCTTAAGGTTAATCAAAAGGAAAGTTCCAATCAAATGTTTGCAACAGGTTTCTGTAATCTCCTAACAAGTTCATTTGGTTTTAACTAAAAAATAAGAATTTCTTCTTTTGTACAGGCAGACAAGGTCCTTTCTCTGTTTCTCTACGTGGGCTGCGGCCCAGTCACTCCACAAATCTTACGGTTGTACTGTAACAAGTGGAATGGAAATGCCACCCTGGACCAGGGTGCTGTGATGTGCTTCCCTGCTCTCCCTTCAGGACGGAAGGCCTTACTTCCCCAGATGCCAGGAGAGACCTCTCAATGACGTTAAGCCTTCTTCAAGGACTGCCGTGGCTGAACAGTTTCTTTGCCTGATGTCACTCTCCCTTCCCAAAGGCAGCCGGCTAACCTGATTGAGCAGTGCAGGGTAAGTCCTCTCTCTTCCCAACACAGGGCACATCCACCTTGAGGACACCTCAGAGGGTCAGTCCAGCCTGCATTCCAATCTTGCTCTCTTCCCTTCCTTTCCTTAGGTGGTGATCTGTAGAACAACCCCCCAACAAACCTTCTGAAGGTTCATCTCTGCCTCAGAGACCGCTCCCTGGGGAGCCACTTGGCCCAGACTCCCCTCTTGGCCTAGGGTCCTTGCATCTATTTATTTTTAGTCTTTGCTTCTTCATATATAATCTCCCTTCCCAAGGCTCTGAAAATGCAAGATGGAAGGATGGTGTCTAACCCATATTTATCTTGAAACATTCAAATATAAGGGCTAGCATTATGTTATATTTCTTTGCACCTTTGGTTATCTTTATATGATCCATTGAGGGAAACAACTGTGTTTTTTATATATATATATATATATATATATATATATATATATATATATATCACAGTTATATATATATATCACAGTTGTATATATATATATGTATATATATATATACATACACACACACACACAATACAGTTGTGGATCATATATATATATGAATATCCTACTATTTGGGGGAAAATTACCAAAATCTTTTGCATGATGCTATAAATGATTTTCCTCCTTTCAAAATACACCTCTCGTGCCGAAACCGGTTTGGCTCAGTGGATAGAACGTCGGCCTGCGGACTGAAAGGTGCCAGGTTCGATTCCGGTCAAGGGCATGTACATTGGTTGCGGGCACATCCCCGGTAGGGGGTGTGCAAGAGGCAGCTGGTCGATGTTTCTCTCTCATCGATGTTTCTAGCTCTCTATCCCTCTCAATTCCTCTCTGTGTAAAATCAATAAAATATATATTTTAAAAAAACAAACAAAAAAACCCAAAAAAAACAAAATACACCTCTCTTGTAATGAACTGAGGTATATTTCTGTCAGCACTGATTTTATCATAGATTATGACTGAGATGTAGCCACTTTTCCTTGTCTATTAATATGTTTTATTTTTCTTCCTTAAGAACACAGCTTTGCCATTGTCCCTGGTGTATTATCTTGTTCCTGATCTTAGGGAGAAAGCATTCAGTCTTTTATCATTAATTATGCTGTTTGTTCGGTTTGTTTGTTTTTAAAAATAGATTCTCCTTATTACTTGAGGACATTCCATTCTGTTCCTAGGATGTGTGTATGTGTGTGTGTGTGTGTTCATAAAAGTGTGGAAATTTTGTCAAATGTTTTCTGTATCAGTAGATGATCATGTGGCTCTTGACCTTTATCTTATTGATATGGCTATTACTTTAATTGGTTTCTGACTTTTATCTTATTGATATGGGTATGACTTTAATTGGTTTCTGACAATCTTGCATTCTTGAGATAAATTCCTCTTGGTCATGGCGTGCAACAAATCTTTTTATATGTTGTTGAGTTCTGTTTGCTATACTTGGTTGAAGATTTTGGCATTGATATTCATAAGAAATGCTGGTCTGTAGCTTTCTTTTCTTGTAATATCCTTGTCTGGTTTTGGCATCAGGGTAATAGTGGCCTCAAAGAATGAATTGGATAGTGTTCCCTCCTTTTCCATTTCCACATTTACCCTTTAACCTCAATCTGGCAATTAGAAGATATCTTGTCAAGGCCATCAGTGCCTTCCATATTGCCAAATCCAGCAAACACTTCCTTTCAGGCCTTGTCAAATCGAGCCCTTCAGCAGCATGTGAGCACCCTCCCTCTCCTTGCCACAATACTCTATGTTCTTGGCTTCACATGCCTGGTGACCTTTCTACCCCTTTGGCCACCTCTTTTTCATCTCCTTTACTGGTTCTACTTAAACTAAATGTTTAGGTCTTAAGACTTGGCTCAAGTCTCCTTCCTTTTTATTTTATACATGCTCTAGAATATTTTACCCATTCTCATAAACCTCTTTCCTATAACTTTCAAATGTATAAAGACCTTTATGTCTAACTGCCTAGTCCACATTTTTACAGGCTTGATTCACATATAACATGTCCCAACCTGAATGCTTGGTTTTCTCTTCCAAATCTGTATTGGTAATGAACTTATCTATGCATATCAGAAAGTTGTGATCCAAATTAACACCCCACTTTCCACTTTATCCTTCAAGTCTGTCCTTACTAATGAGAGTCCAACTCCTGGTTAAAAACCTACAAGTACATTTTTAAGTCTGATCATAAGCAATTACAAAAGCTTTACCTGCAGGCCTCATGAGGGAAAGCTATTCTCCCCACACCAGACTTCATACATAGCCAAGTTCAAGGGCACTCAAATAATTCCAGAGGTTGATATCCTAAAAATGTATCAAACTAACTGCATAAGTTTCCAGCTGTGTATGATATGCAACCAAGAGGGACTAGTATGACACAAATTGCTTTGAAAGAAACCCAGATAGTTTCCTATACAGGGGTGTGCAAAAGTAGGTTTGTATGGAAAATAGTACAATAATTAATAAATAATAATATAAGAATAAGCTGTGTTTTGTGTACTCACAGCTGCAAACCTACTATTGCCTGTTCCTATATGCCATCCTTGTTCCTGAAGACCTATAGTGACAGATGTTTGATCACACCCTTCACTGCTAGTGTGTTTGCGTTTATTAATGCTACACTTAAATTTTGCTCTCTTACTATCAACTTAAAAAAAAAGGCAGCATCATTTTACATTGAGATACTAAAATGAAAATCCATGTAAGAAAAAGGAACTACAGAAGTACAAATCTTTACTTTATTCCACTTACTCTTCTCTGCCTTACCCATTTGTTGACCCTTCTGAAAGAGCTATCAGGTCACTCAAATTTCAGTCTCTAGCACATCACTTTGAGTTATGGGCAGAAATACTATGTCAAAACCTAAACTCTGCACAGGAACCAAAAATAACAAGAAAGGAAGAAGTCTGGTACTATAATTCAGCATTATACAAGTAAACATGCTCTCTGCTGGTTGTGGTAAAGGTCAGGAGAGCTGGAATCTGGCAGGCTGTAAAGCAGAGGAAGCTTTGAGCTGTAGGAAGCTGAACAATAGATAGTGTTGTGAGTGAGAAGCCTAGAGCATCACTAAACTCAGGCTTCAGCCTGGGACATGATTATTGGTTAAAAGTGACAAAGGACGGTGACAGTGTTCTTTGCAGAACATCCAGGAGATATTGTAGTTTAAAAAGAAAAAGAAAGAAAAGTACCACCCCATCCAGTTTGGCTCAGTGGACAGAAAACTGTAGTGGATGAGCTTGTAGACTGAAGGGTTTTGGGTTTGATTCCGATCAAGGGCACATATCTCAGTTGCATGCAGGAGGTAATCTATTGATGTGTCTCTCTCACACCGATGCTTCTTTATCTCTCTATCTCTTCCTTTCTCTTCCATTCTCTATAAAAATCAATGGAAAAATATCGTCTGGTGAGGATTACCTGCTCCTCCCCCAAAGTCCTTACTATTAGGATCATGTGAAATATATGTTACGAATTTTGGTATTGGTTTATTTTTAATAAGGAAATTTATTAGGGATGGAAATGGAAAGAGAAGCTGATACAAACAATATGACCTCTAATGCAAAACCCAAGGAATGAAGGGATTACATGCACATATACCTGCATGCAAGCATTCAGATTCAGTTAGAAAAGACTGATGATCTGACAGTATTTTCAGAATGAAATATTTTCATGCTGGTTGTTAAGCTGCTGTCCTGAGTTGCTTGAGTGTGCTTTGCTACCTTAGCCTCCTTTGTACTTTCCTCTCCTCCTCATTTCCGCATAATCCAGCAGCTAAGGGGTTAATATCAGCAGCAGGAATCTGGAATTCTTAACTTCCACTTTAAGGTTTCCACTCAGACTGGTCAATAGCTCATATCATATTTATTGTTTAATGTCTTAAGACCATCCTACTATATTGATGCATGTTGCATAGAATTACCTCCATATTATTTTTGACTGATGAAGAATTATCTGCAGCAGGATCACCTTGGGCACTTGTCAAAAATGCAGATATTGCCGAAACCAGTTTGGCTCAGCGGTAGAGCTTCGATCTGCGGACTGAAAGGTCCTGGGTTCAATTCCAGTCAAGGGCATGTACGTTGGTTGTGGGCACATCCCCGGTAGGGGGTGTGCAGGAGGCAGTTGGTTGATGTTTCTCTCTCATCGACCTCTCTAGCTCTCTATCTTTCTCCCTTCCTCTCTGTAAAAAAATCAATAAAATATATTTTTAAAAAAATGCAGATACTTGGGTACAACACACTGGACCCACTGTGTCTCTGGGAGGGGGCTAGGATATGCATTTTTAACTCTCCCCCAGGTGGTTCTAGACTATCATATCAACTATAGTCTGCATTTTCTAGCACAGAGCAAATCTCTCTTACATCTAGATGCCAAGTACTTTGAAGGGAGGGTCTTAAGTCCTAATACTCTTGGTATTTACCACTATGCTTACCTACTTTAGTACTATTGATAGACAATAAAGAGGAAGGGTTATTGGTTCAGAAGTGCATGCTGGAAGAATAAGTTAGGTTTGATGATGACAATAATGATGATAATAATGATGGCTTATCATGTGCCATGTCCTATCATAAGTGCCTTAGATGCATCATCTAATTGTTTCCTCTCAATAATCCTAAGAGTACTGCTATTTTCTCCATTTTGTGGCAGGAAACTGAAACTTAACATCTCATCATTGGGAAGAAGGACTCCAATATTGGTTTGCCTGATTTTAATGCCTAAACTTTTTCTTATTCCCTAAGCCATACTGGCTCTTGGGTCACAAAACAATTCTACTTATCTATCAGATTATTTGGAGTTAATCTCTTCAGTTTGCTTTTGTTTCAATTTATTTGCTGTATTTTATTACATGTGGGAAGGGAAAAGTAGGCATAGAAGATGAGGAGATTATAAAAACTACTAGAGGCCCGATGCAAGAAGATTCATGCAAGAATGGGCCTTCCTTCCCCTGGCTGCCTTTCTGCCTTCCCACACTGCCCAGAGGCCTGGAGCAACTGGGGTGGTGCAGAACACCATCTTTGTTGGGTTAATTTGCACATTCACTCCTGATTGGCTGGTGGGTGTTGCAAAGGTATGGTTGATTTGCATCTTGCTTTTTTATTAGTGTAGATACTCTGACTTGCAGGAACCAAGGTGAAGGAAATTGAATATAGAAAGTAGAAAAAAAAAAAAAATATATATATATATATATATATATATATATATATATATATATATATATATTACCCAATACTTAGGAACCATTGTAAACATTTTATGTAAGTTAAATAAATTAGTAAAGTACTAACTGATAAAAAAAAAAAGTTAGAATTTTGCAAATGTCACTGGACCTTGAAAGTTAGGTTATGAAAGGAAAAGGTTTTGAGGTTATACCTAGAAATCGAGTAATAAGAAAAGGGAATCAAGATGAGAACACATAGTGAAGAAATAATGAGAACAACTGCCATTTTTAGAAAGTTCGTCAAGGGCCCAGCTGATGTCTGGACTTGATGATAGCAAGACAAGCAGTCTGGACTTGGAGAAATTAAGACACTTTATGAAAGAGAGTGGACTGAAAGGATGACTGAGCTTTATACATGCTCAGGTTTGCTTTTAAGTATTTTGCCAGAAGCTGGGGTTAATGAGATCACAGGGTATGACCATTTGATTCTGGTTAAAGCATCCTTATACACTAAGCTTAATGAAGAATGGCTAATTAACATCTTTTGAATATAAAGAAAAAGGAATAGACATCAGGATTGTCCTTTCAAAGCAAGAAACAAACAAAAGAAACAAGACATCAGGATTGTCCTTTCAAAGCAAGAAACAAAAAAGTCTGGATAAATGGAATCAGAGTGCTTATTCAGAGTTCAGTATATCAATCCCTGTGCTTTCCTTTAGATACAGGTAACTCTCCAATCATCCTTGATTCATTCATGACAGAGGGGGAAGAGGAGATTCACTCTTACTGGGATCTGGGCAAAATCCCCACTTTTCGTCTCTTTCGTATCGGCTGGTCGTGGCACACCACAGCAGCTTGTCTTCCCGCCCTTCCCTGGTGCATTCGTGATGCCACTGGTGGTTATACTGGAAGGGAAACATGCATGGTGTCCCATGGGCGTTCCCTTTGAGTGTATACAAATCTAGGAGAAGAAAAGAACATAGTCAAATAGGTATTATGCCAGCTTCATCTTTGGACACTCTCATAGAGTGAATGCATTCTTTTCATAACTGAAAACCTACAGTGGGCAAAACTCTTGCTAGCCCACAGAGAGCCCTCAGGACTCCACTGTCCAGTGAGTGTAAATGTGCAAGGCTGAGTGTGGGTTCACAATGGTGTGTGAACCTATTCATGTCCTTGGGTATTCACTATGGTGCACTACTATGGCAGCACCACATTTGTGAAAGGATGAGAAGGAAAATTTAATGGAGATTTTACTTTAAAATATCACCTATGTCAGTGACCAGCATCTGAAACTCAAGAGCTTCACATGCCTTCATTAATTTATTCATCCAACAAATATTTATTGAGCATTTAATGTGCTGAGAGACAAAAAGAAAACAAATACACAAGTAAACCTAATTTCAGGTAGTGATAAGTACCATGATGAAAAACAAGATAGGGTAGGAAGACAGAATGACTCTCTGTGTGTGTGTGTGTGTGTGTGTGTGTGTGTGTGTGTGTGTGTGTGTGTGTGAGAGAGAGAGAGAGAGAGAGAGAGAGAGAGAGAGAGAGAGAGAGAGAGAGAGAGGAGAGACAGCGCACTATTTTGGATCAGGTGGTTAGTGAAGGCCTCTCTGGATAAGGACTGGGGGAAGCAAGTGTACAAATATTTGGAAAAGAGTTATCTGGCAGAGGGAACAGCGTATATGAAGAACTTGCAACAAGACTTGTGTGGGATGAATGCAGAGGGCCATGCAGGAGGGATGGGAGGTGGGGGCAGAGAAGTGGAGATTGTCCGCTCAGAGAGGCCAGCTCTGCCACATTATAAACTTTGCCCTTTACTCTGAACGTAGTGGGAAGTCACTATTGGGTTTTGGATGAGAAAGTCACATGATCAGATTTCCATTTTTAAAGAAAATCTGGGTGCCATATGACAAACAAAACCCATGCAGGGAGTGGGCAAAGAGGGATAATTAGCTGGGAGGCCTCTACAGTAATCTTGGAGACATGGCAGTGCCAAGGTATCTGCTGGCTGCTTTCCCAGAGCCTTTCAATAATCTGTCACCCTTGGCCTTAAACAGGAAAGGACAGTTTTTCATGACTCACCTGGGGCTTTCTGTGGTGAAGGGGGATCAGGGCCACCCTTGAGTCACTAGGTCCTGGAGGAAAAGGCTGGCTGTGGAGACACCCACCCCTTTCCCACATTGGCAGGGGCTGGACTGAACTAACCCTGCATCAGCCCTAGAGGTTAAGGCTCTTTAGAGACTATTGGAATTTCAGGACACATCCTCTTGCTTCTGCCCCTGTCTCCTACTCGCTCTTCCCTGCATGCACTGTGAGTGTGGGTATATGGCTAACATGTTAACATAAAGCCAAATGCCATGTTCTTCCTTAATCTGTAGATTGTTGGGAGAGCTGGTTTGTAGCACTTGCTCCACTGTGGTGAGTCCTGAAAATAACTTGTTTTTAGCCCCATCTCGTTACTCATTTCTTGGAGATACATGAGAAAGTCCTGACATGGATTTTAAGAGTTCCTTGCTCTGCTTCCTAGGACTAGTATAAATTAGAGTTCTAAGAAAGATTTGCTGTTATTTAGGCATAATTCTACTGAGCACCATGAGGGCAGGGACCACATCTGTCTTGTTGGCCTTTTAAAGAATATGACTGGCCCTGGGCCTGAGAAATAGTCAGTGTTCAATAAATGTGTGACAGAGGATGAATGGATGGATGAGAGAATGAAGAGCACTACCAAACAAAACCTGAGAAACGGGTTTAGGGTGTCCAAATTTAATATGTTGCATTCATTCATTCATTCATTCATTTATTTTTAAAATGCCAAATATTACAAAACTGTGAAAAAATGACCCTCCTCTTCCCCTCCCCCCCAAAAAACAAAAAACAAACAAAAAAAAAAACACCCACCATTATTTTCCATTCCCTAGCACACACTAAATAATCCCTAACAACAGTCTGTCTTTAAATGTCTCAATGTGACTTCACATGGATGCCAGCAAGCATGGGAGGCACTGAGTGGCCTGCAGACACACTCCATCCCTGGGACTGAGTGTCTGCAACAAGAGAAATGGTGGCAAGAGAGGTTCTTATACTCATCCTGTCAAGTCATCAACTTCAAAAACCTTTTTTTCGCCGGGACCGGTTTGGCTCAGTGGATAGAGCGTCGGCCTGCGGACTGAAGGGTCCCGGGTTTGATTCCGGTCAAGGGCATGTACCTTGGTTGCGGGCACATCCTCAGTGGGGGATGTGCAAGAGGCAGCTGGTCGATGTTTCTTTCTCATTGACATTTCTAACTCTCTGTCCCTCTCAATTCCTCTCAGTGTAAAATCAATAAAAATACATTTAAAAAAAACAAAACAAAAAAAAAACACCTTTTTTTCTACCTTAATTTTCTCTTTTCCTCTTGTTCTACCATGCTTTCTCCCCGTCCCAATGATGCCCAAAGGTAAGTGTTTTCTCCTCTGATACCTTTAACTTGTGAGAAATTCTGCTTCTTTAGGAGAATTTAGCACAACCCAAGACTCCAGTCATTTTTTACATTAAGTGAGAAACAACTACAAAGTATTTGGCAGAAGTCCCTTGAAAGCCTGAATGCTGTGTACCTCTTTCATATAATATACCAGAAGCCTGCGGGGGTGGGGTGGGGTGGGAGTGTCCCTTAGCCCAGCCTGCACCCTCTCCAATCTGGGACCCCTAAAGGAATGTCCGGCTGCCCATTTAGGCCTGATCCCTCCCTTGCAGGCCTTGTCCCTCCCAACCACCCTCTCCTGCTGGTCTGATCACCCACAACTGCCCTCCCCTGCTGGCCATCTTGTGTGTTGGAGTGATGGTCAATTTGCATATCACCTCTTTAGTATATAGGATTTTACAAATCTTGACTTACGGTAAACTTTCTAAATATATTATTTCACGAGTACTTTGGCTTTTATATACATACAAATATATATCTTTACCTCTGTGCAGATATTCACAAATGTCTTCACCGCCTGACATGTAGGCAATCCACTTATGAAGGTTTTTCCGGGAGGCCACCAGCGTGTTGTGCTTCACCTGCACCATGTACTGCAGCGGGCCAGTGATCACCTTCCTGCTACAGTGCCACCTCAAGGAAACGTGGATGGAATCACACTCATAGATACTCAACGGCTGTTCTGGGTCAGACAAATTCAGGCCCAGGCAACCGCTGCCTCCAATGTTAAAGAGGCCATGGTTGGAAACCCATTTCCACATCATGTTCTTGTTTGGTGGTTTGCAGTTCTCCAGGGTCAGTACCGATTTGCCTGCTTGAATGCATTTCTTGAGACTCTCACTTTGGATAATGAATATCCCTTTATCTGAAAGAGCAAAATAGAAGACGGGTATGAGTCTTTCATATATAATTACCTAGTATCATGAGGATGTGTAAGTTGTGAAATGTCACAATTGGCAGTCGTTGTTAACAGATCTGGAGTCGATGGGTGGGGTCCACCAGGAAGGTTTGTTTTTTCTCAAAACAGGAGTTTCTTGGGAAGCATAAATGGGTTCACAGAGCTCACGGGAGACCCCTGACCTACCAGTAAAACCCCCTTGGCCCTACAGAAACAAAGGCTACCTGTTAGTCCACTCAAGAATTTTCTGATAGAGAAGGAGCTCTCCACAACTGAAAAGAGAAGAGACATTGGGAACAACACCCAGGGCTAAAGGGGAGGACTGTGGGGTGCCCAGAAGTATGGTGACACTTAGGTTTTCTCCAGATAAGTGCCTGAATGTTAAAAACATGTTTCAAGAGCCACAGAAATAGAAATTTCTACCATTAAATTCCTGCTGAAAACCCAAAGGACAGAGTCAAAGTGCTGCTTTGTGTCTTGACACAAAACGCCATGCTGGTGAGAAAAAAATACTTCTCCATGTTTGCTGTCTGTGCTGGATCGTTCAGGAGTGGAACAGTGGGGACATTTGTTATGGGATAGCCTCTTTATAGGAGCATCCTTGTTGGGTGGGAATGGCCAGAGCAGATAGATGCCAGGAGACTAGCTGAGGCCACACACCGAGCTTCACAAAAGGTGTAAGAGCACCATGTTGGCAGCAAAGGCACACAGGACACATGGAGATGTGCAAAAATAGTCATTTTGTTATAGAGCTTTGAGCTTCTAACTCCCCAGAGCAGAAAGAGGGGTCTGGGTGAGTTTTCTAGGGAAAAGCTGGCAAGGCCTGGGAAGCACCTATAATATTATAAACTAGAGGCCTGTTGCACAGATTTGTGCACTGGTGGGATTCCTCAGTATAGCCTGCAGGGTTCGGGCCAAAACCAGCAGTCCAATGTCATCTGCCGCTTCTGCTCATCCCGGTCCCACTGTGCCTGCTGCTGCCTCCACTTGGTAGGCTTGCTGCTATTCTGCTGTGGTCTCTGGGCTGTGGCAGCCAGTGTGAGCCCTGAGTCTGGCGTCTGTCAGTCAGAGGAGCAGCGCCTCTGCTGTGAGGCAGCTCCTGCGTTGTGCATCTATCCCTGGTGGTAGTGAGTGTCATAGTGACTGGTCGACTGGTTGTTCAGTCGCTTAGGCTTTTATATATATAGACTAGAGTCCCAGTGCACAAATTTACGCATCTGTGGGGTCCCTCGACTTGGCCTGAGAGATCGGACTGAAACTGGTTCCCTGACATACCCTGAGGGATCCCAGATTGTGAGAGGACACAGGCCAGGCCGAGGGACCCCACCAGTGCATGATCAAGGCTGAGGAGAGACCGTGGGAGGGTCCTGACCAGCCAGACCTCAGCAGCAAACCCCCTGGTAGTCAGTGCATGTCATAGTGAACGGTTGAGTGGCCTTAGCATAACATTAGGATATTATGCTTTGATTGGTTGAATGACCGGACACTTAGCATATTAGGCTTTTATTATATAAGATAACAATTATGAACTTGTTCTCATGAAGGTGGACATCATATCTCACTTTTTTAGTCTAAGCATGGACCGTCCTGAGCATGGTGATTAAACATGCTGGCAGGTGCTGCTTAGGCCCTGGTTGCTGAGGTCACTCAGCCCAGTGTCTGGTCAGGTCCAAGGGCTCTTTTGTTCTCCCATTAGCTAGGTTCTTCTCTTATATTTTACCTCCTGTCCAATCTTTTAATATCTGAAGGGACATTATCAGGTTCCCTTAAAATAGTTGCAGTTTACAGCAAAGTCGTGTCATATAGCCATGGGATAGCAGGGACAGGCCGAGGTCTTCTAGTGACTTGGAACAATGTAGAATGAGCCTCCTCACATATCAGCACATGGGAATTACGTGCTTTTTTTTTTTTTTCTTTTTCAAAGTTTCTGAGGCCAAGAGAAGCTGATTTACAATAACAAAAATCACTTAACACATTGTTAAAAAGACTGTCATTATATAAACGAAGGTTAATTTCACTTAATAATCTGATAATCCCACTTATAAACATATATTTGAGGAGTTGAATTCATTGTCATAAAATTGCTTTTATCACCAGACATCAGAGCAAAAGAGAAGGGAGTGTGTAGTGCAGTCCGGGGGAGAGAATGAGTGGTTTTAGGGAGATTTCATTTAGATCAGGAAATTTGTTTTCCTAATGAAGGCCATGTCTGTATGGTTATTAGTGATAGTCATTCAAGATGAAATCTTCCTCTTGCCAATGTGATATGGATTCTGATAATTAACCTTCTCTGCAACTCTCCTTTTCACCTTTTCATGCCCGGATAGAATGTTCACCTTCATTTCTGTTGTAATCTACTAATTAGTTTCTAGCCCAGAGTTCTACTCATTTTTTTTCTCTAAAGGATAATTATCTTACTATAAATTGTTCTGTAGTTTGGCTTCTATCTAATATGTATGTTCAAATACACACAGCTCTGCAACTTACTGGATGAACTTCAGCCCTCTGGGTTTGCTTATATTCCTAAGATAGGTGGCTAGGCAACTTGCTAGTGGGTAAGAGCTGTGGAATCAGGCAAACCAGCCTTGTAACTTCGGGCAAATATCTTTATTTCTGGGAGCCTCATCTTTCCTCTGTGAACTGAAAATATGACTCATAGGAATGTGAAGTTTTCCATTAAAAGTTACATGTAAAAGAATAAAAATAGACTATTGTTTGTCCCCATATACAAAAATTAACTTAAAATGGATTAAAGACCTAATTATAAGGCCTGGAACAATAAATTACATAGAAGAAAACATAGGGACTAAACTTATGGACCTTGGTCTTCGAGAGGATCTTATTAATTTGACCCCAAATGTAAGGGAAGTAAAGGCAAAAATAACTGAAAGGAATGTATTGAGCTAAAAAACTTCTGCACAGCAAAAGAAATTGCCAACAAAATTAAGACAACCAACAGAATGGAAGAAGAAACTTGCAAACAATAGCTATGACAAGAGGTTAATATCCAAATTATATAAAGAACTTATACAACTCAACACTAAACAATTAAAAAATGGACAGAGAGCCCTGGCTGGTTTGGCTCAGGGTCTTAGGTTTGACTCCCAGTCAAGAGCACGTACCTGGGCTGCAGGTTTGATCCTTGCCCCCTGGGGCCAGGCAACCAATTGATGTGTCTCTTTCACATCAAAGTCTCTCTCTCTCTCTCTCTCTCTCTCTCTCTCTCTCTCTCTCTCTCTCTCTCTCTCTTCTTACTTCTCTAAAAATCATCAATGGGAAAAATATATTGGTGAATATTAACAGCAACCAAAAAAAGGGCAGAGGACCTGAACAGACACTTCATCCATGGAAACATACAAATGGCCCACAGATATATGAGAAGATGCTCAACTTCACCAGGTATTAGGGAAATACAAATCAAAACTACAGTGAGATACCACCTGTTACAATGGCTATTAACAAGATAAGTAATAACAAGTGTTAGAGAGATTGTGGAGAAAAAGAACCCTATTTACTATAAACTGATATAGCCACTATGGAAAACAGTGTTATGGAGGTTCCTAAAAAAATTACAAATAAAGAAACTTCAGTTGGGTGGAGCATTGTCCTGTACACCAAAAATATTGGGGATTCGATCCCTGGTGGGGGTGTATAGGGGACACAACCGATTGATGTTTCTCCCTCAGAATAATGTTCTCTTTCTCCTCTCCCCTTCTCTCCTTTCATCTCTCTCTAAAAATCAATAAACATATCATTGGGTGAGGTTAAAAAAACACACAAAAAACCCTCTTCTGGGCATCTACCCCCCAAATTTGAAAACACTTATTCGCAAAGATATATGCACCCCTGTTTCACTGCAGCATTATTCATAGAGCCCAAGACATGGAAACAATCAAGGTGTCCTTCAGTAGAGGACTGGATAAAGTGGTACAATGGAATACTACCCAGCCATAAGAAATGATAAAATACTACCATTTGCAACAACATGGATGGATCTTGAGAATATCATGCCAAAGGAAGTAAATTAGGCAGAAAAATATTTCATATGATTTCATTCATATGTGAGACATAAAACTGAAAGCAACAAATAAACAAAAAAGAAAAACAAACAAAAACTCATAGGCACAGACAACAGTATGGTGATTACCAGAGGGAAGAGTGTTTGGGAGATAGTAAGGGTAAAAGGGGTCAAATATATAGTAATGGCAGAAGATTAAAGGGATGGTGCACACACAATGCAATATACAGATGTTATATCATATAATTGCACATAAAATCTATATAATTTTATTAACCAATAAATTTAATTAAAAAGGAAAAAAAAGAGTATTCCATTAAATAATCCATGCAAAGCACACTACACATTATCTCATCATGGGAAGACCTCAGTAAATGTGAGTTGTTGTCATTATTGTTATTATTATCCTTCTGGCTTCCTGATTCTTGATCTGTAGATCCAGCTATAGATTTAGTTGAACACCTACAGAGTGCTAGTCTGAGCATCCCCCCAAAGACTTTTCTTCTTACATCATTAGAACAAAAGCTCATTTTTACTTTAGCTTCTGTAGCATACAGTGGGTGCATAAATATTAGTTTAAAATAATCCTTAAATACCAAGATATCTCTCTCATGGAGGAAGCATATTCTTCAAACAACCAGACAACAAAATTGTGCAACTGTGAATTAAATCTTCATTCATCTTTTACACTATCTATTTGGAAAGTCCATATTGCAGCTCTTTTGTAGGAGAGAAACATATGATGTCAACAAGAGTTGATGGATATGGTTTGTAAGTGGATATGGAAATTAAATATCAATAAAATTTGGGGTGAATAATGTTTTTAAACATGCAAATTATGAAGTTAAGAGAAAAGGAGTGGTAGAATTAAAATGTCTATAGTTACTCCGGTGATCATAAAAATACCTTTCCAAAGTAGAAGGTATTAGACAAACAACTTTGCCACTCA